AGGTGTATTCACATTCTCAGTTTCTGCCGGGGGTGCGAGGTGCCCTGTAAGCTGCGCAACGCGTTGAGTGGATGTCGCTGCCTTAGCTTCTGGTGTTGTTTTGTCTGCATCAGGGATTACTGAGTTTCGCGCCATTACTAGATATTAATGGCGAGTGTTGGGTAGTAGCAGTGGTGATCGAGGTGTTGACTATTTGATGTTCCTGGCTTGTACAACGTTTCCAGGATGAAATACATAATTTACATATGTCCTTGAGTGGCTCATGGCATCATCTCGGTTATGCCGCTATCGGGTTCCCGTCGTGCATAGATACGGAAGCACGCCTTCTCCCCACCTGGTGACGGAATGGCCAAAGAGCCTCCGACCCCGCCAAGCATAGACATGCTTACCCACCAAATTGGAGTCATCGGTAAGAACATCACGGGCTCAGGAATCCTGAGGCTTGATAATGAAGCTTGGTAAAGGCTTTCAAGCTCGAGGGACCGGATATCGGCACACTGGCGCGTGGGCTGACATGGTATCTCCACACTCCATGTTTTACCCCGCGAGCTTAAGCGGACGACATGACTTCGGGGAAGTCGATCTGGGGAATTTAAAAACAAATGTGTATATTTACATGCTAAAAAAAAGTGATTGAACACTTTATCCAGAGCTCGTTGCTCATGAGGCGGTGCGTGGGTTGTGATGGGTGGCGATTTCCAGCAGTTCCGAAGTTCCGACGTTCCGAATCAATGGCAAGAAGCTTGTTTCAACCCTTCAAGCTCCTCAACTTTGAGCATCCCCCGATACATACAGCCTACCTATTCGTCCCAACGTCAACAATTTTCTTTTTTCTCACATCACGGCGGTCAAAGATAACGTTTATGATGACGTGAGCGTTTTGTGGGGAAATGGGGAATATACTCACTACATGAGCACTGGCTTCGGCGCTGACGCATTAGAGTTTCAGAGTAAGTAACTCGTGCTCTTCTGCCCAATATCGACTGTCGATCACACCGCGTAGGCGCTTTGGAGATGAACGAGTGGTTCGCCCAATCTGGGGGGCAACACATGCGATTCGGGATAGCGTCACATGCGCGTTACGATGTGGAGTGGTCCTACTTACTCCTTGATACTAGTACATACTCACATTCACCAAAGACCCGGTTTCGCAGCTAGCGCAGGCTCCTCCCTCTCGGCGCGGGCCCTTGCCTGCGGGCCTTTTGTTGATGCCGACGAAACCCATAAAGCCTCAGGCCCAGCACCTCAGAGGTGGTCGTCCACGTTGTCGGAGACCCCGCAACTCACCTTGATTGCGCCCAGTACCGCTACCACAGCCAAGTATCCCAGTAGTCCAGCCGACCCATCATTGGCCCCCCACAAGGAGCTTCCATGAAGGTCTTGCTCACTTCTGACTGGGTTGTCGATCAATGGCAGAACCTCGGCCAAGCCGAGATTTGGGCAATGAGACGTCTTGCGTACGTTTCCGACGGTGGGCAGTTGGAGGGTGCCAGTGAGGCAGACCAGCAGAAGAAGGATGCACTACTCGGCGCTCAAACAGTGGGTAGTAGGATAGGGTGTCGTATAGCATAGTAGAAGGCGCAGCTCGGATAAGAGCTCAGGCCCAGGATAGGATGAAGGACGAGGCCAGCAGGCTCGGCGTGTTCCGTTGCAATGTCGAGACCGTCCAGTTAACGCCATCGATATTTTCCAGAAGTTGCATCGGGAGATACACGTGGGGAAACCATTGGAGAGGAACCGCGACGTTGGTGAGATGGATTCAAAAGAGATGACTTGCGGCCAGAAGCGAGCCCACGTTCTAGCATCGTTCACGCTCATTGGCCCGTTGGACTACACTCAGCTCTATCCCGCCAGTCCGCCGCCGCGCCTGCCAAGCTACAGCCAAGGCCCGCCCAAGAGACAGAGGAGGCGCTGGCATCGGCTTGATGTCTCTTTTCTGTCTGACCAAAACCGAGAAGCATGTCAACACTCTCACGCTCCACATGTCTTGCCAATGAGAAGCCTACTTTGAGCACACGTTCTCTTGGCAAGACCTCTCACGTTGCGCCTTTTGAGTGGCGGCCGACTAAGGCATACAACTTTCTTGCATGCAGTGTCATTCCGTGGGTGTAGTTCGTTCCCTGGGATTGCTGGGGTGGCCCGATGAATACGGCCTGGAAGCACCGCACATGGCCGAAAATGTGATACGGGCATATATATACATCTGACCCAATCTCTCTTTCCATTATCATCTCAGCTCTGCTTGCGAACAGCACTCCTCACTTGTTCACACGCAGCCTGTATCCAGAGAGGATCCGCCAAGATGCCGCGTCTCACGCAGTACAACTATGTCTTTGCCATAGGCACCTTCTTTGCCATGCTCGATGCATACAACAACGGTGCTAGTACGTACCAAGTCGCCTAAACAACCGATATGATGCAATGCTAACCTTCTCAAAGACGATGTGGCCAACGCTTGGGCTACTTCGGTTTCCTCCCGTTCGGTTTCCTACCGCCAGGCCATGATCCTGGGTACCATCTTCGAGATGGTCGGTGCCATCACTGTCGGTGCCCGTACTGCCGATACCATCAAGAACGGTATCATCCCTACCAGCGCCTTCAAGGGTGATGCTGGTGTCCAAATGTTGGCATTCACCTGCGCCCTCGCTGGTGCCTCTCTCTGGGTCATGTGGTGCACCAAGCACTCTGCCCACGTCTCATCGTCCTACTCGCTCATCTCCTCGGTTGCTGGTGTCGGTGTTGCTGTCGCAGGTGCTTCTCAAGTCCAATGGGGGTGGAACAAGGGCAAGGGTCTTGGTGCCATCTTTGCTGGTCTCGGAATGGCTCCCTTTGCCTCTGGATGCTTCGGTGCCATCATCTTCATGTTGATCAAGCTCACTGTCCACATCCGCAAGAACCCCATTCCATGGGCCATCTGGACCGCTCCCTTCTTCTTCCTCATTGCCGGAACCATTTGCACACTGTCCATTGTCTACAAGGGATCCCCCAACCTCGGTCTCAACAAGAAGCCCGCGTGGTACGTCGCTACCGTCACCATGTCTTGCGGTGTTGGTCTCGCTGCCTTGTCCTTCATCTTCTTCGTTCCCTACCTCCACGCCAAGGTTGTCAAGCGCGACTCCAATGTCCGCTGGTGGCACGCTCTTCAGGGACCTCTTCTGTTCAAGCGTCCCGCTCAAGACAACGCCGACGCTGCGGTTGTTCCCGACTACGCTGTCGTACAGGAAGATGATGAGATCACCCTCGAGCACAACAACAGCGACTCTGAGATCGGCACTGGCGCTGAGAAGGGTACCGTCGTTCAGGAGCAGCGCCAGCTTACTTACAAGGAGCTTGTTCAGCAAGGTGAGGATCGCTTCCACGCCAAGCTTAGGGCTAAGACTGGACCTCTCGCCTGGGCTATGCGCTACCTCCACGAGAACAAGATCGAGAGCGGTGAAATCTACGAGAGGAAGAACATGATCATCACCCTCAAGCGCATTCCTGCCCAGCTCGTCGTCGGTGCTCTCTACGGTGTCAACTACGACATCCACGCTGCTCAGACTGGTATCCACGGCACTCCCGAAGGAAAGCGTATGGAGCGTGTCTACGGCCACGCCAAGAAGTACCCCAACGAGGTCGAGCACACCTACTCTTTCGTCCAAGTCATCACTGCCTGCACTGCCTCTTTCGCTCACGGTGCCAACGATATCGGTAACGCCGTCGGTCCCTGGGCTGTCATCTACAGCGCCTGGAACACTGGCGAGGCCTCCCGCTCCAAGGCTCCCGTCCCCATCTGGCAACTCGCTGTCCTTTCCGCCACTTTGTCTCTCGGTCTCATCACCTACGGTTACAACATCATGAAGGTCATGGGTAACAAGATCACTTACCACTCCCCTAGCAGAGGTATGTTTCTTCCCCAACAACACTCACCTTTTTTTCGTATCCTTTTACTAACTCGCCCCAGGTTGCTCCATGGAAATGGGTGCCGCTCTTACCGTCCTCATCTTCTCGCAATACTCGCTCCCCGTCTCGACCTCCATGTGCATCACTGGCGCTACCGTCGGTGTCGGTCTCTGCAACGGTACTTACAAGGCTGTTAACTGGCAGCGTGTTGGTCTCCTTGTCTTCTCCTGGATCATGACCATTCCTATTGCCGGTACCATTGGTGGTCTTTCCATGGGTATTGTCCTTAATGCTCCTCACTTTACTTCTTAATATGTTACGCCTCGCCCTTTTGAGGGAAGGATGATTTTTACTTGTCATGATACGCATGGGTGTATAGTACTAGAACGAACGTGCTCTTTGAATTTATCAGTTGGATAGACATTGTTTGCTGTATTGATTGCTTGAGTGAATGCCTTTTCCTGATGTGGGGACACTCGCGGGAGTGTGAAGATTAATGGCAAGCATTGTCTATAAAAGTAGATTTTAAGTCTCTGGAAAATACTCTGAATAAGAATTTTATGCAAGGAAAATAAGCCCCTAGTGACAGAATAGGCCCAGCTGATGACTTTTTTTGTATTGGACTACTGGTCCGTGCAAAACAAAGTAGCATAAGTTCGTATATAGTATGAGCTTTAGCCCTGAGACTCAATAAAGATTAGTGCATAGTCAAAGGAAATAATACCAAAATGAGCTCGGTAAGCAAGTTTTTATCTGTTGCGATAAATGTGTATATGCACTTGGGTACGTGCGTGTGGATGTTCTGGAATAGTATTTCAGTGGTATCTTGTAGCTTCGTTTCGCAGGTACAGTGGCATGTATTTACTTTACGCCCATTGCACAAGTGGACAACGCTTTTTCTCTCATATGCGATTACATTACTTCTCACATACACATTCAACTACATTATCAGTATTTTTTTTGATATTTGATCCGGCAGGTTGGGTGTGTGACGTATCATTCTTTTCCGAGAAGAAGAAGAAGAAGGACTCTAATTTGCTTTACGCTAGACAAATATAAACATTTCACGTCACAATCACATTACGTTTTCCTCCCACCAAGATACACAAACACTACAGTTACCTCTCCCCAATCTCGATATTCTCATATGCCGCCAACCCCTTCCCCCTGTACGAATTTCCGGCATTCGACGACGATCCAAACGTCTGCTTGCTGCCTTGTTGCTGAGCTGCATCATCTGGGTTATACCAGATACCAATGATGCGCTTGGCAAGGTAGTGAATTTGCGGGAAACATGTTATGGCGATGCTGAGGAAGGCTTCGATGGCGGACCATTTTACGACGGGGACGTTGGACCCTGTTGGTGTGTTAATGGTTTGAAAGGAGGGTTTGGGGGGGAAAAAGGAAGGGACGAACAGGATCTGTTGTAGGAAAAGTCGGATTGGAGGAGGATTGCTATTCTGGTTACGGATATACCTGTTATACTAAGGTTTTTGTGTTAGATACGTGTTGTGAATTGAAGATATACGGGAAAGGAGTTGGATGGGATAATTTTGGAGGGGGGCTTACAGGAAACCGACGCAGAAAACGACTAAAACACCTAGTTTTCTCTGCCATGTGATTTTCAATTGAAGTAATCTAGGGATGGGCAGCACTGTGATGATACCGTCCATGATGACGTTTGTGATGTTGAAGGCGTAGTTGAGGTTGTTGCGTTGGACGCTGCAGATTGGGTTTTCGGGCTGGGATATCAGAGTGCCTTGCCACTGTTGCCAGACGAAAGAGATTGGGAGGCATTGGAGGAGATGGGCGAGGAATATGGAAATCAATAGGCATGTGCATATTCCGATGAAGAGGTAGGATAGTTGGTGGACTCGGCCTATTGGGAAGACTCGGAGGTAAAAGGCTAGAACGGTGATTTTGGTCATGAATGTGAGCGTGACGTAGCCCAGCTCCTGGAAAGTGTAGTACTGTTTGGGTCAGCTTGGTTATCTGTTTGCTCGGAGGAAGCTCATACTTTGACCACGTCAGTAACCTTGTGAGGTTTGAGCATCCAGGTATCTTGGCCTAGGCCTGAGTCGAGCGCCAAGAGGATAACTGCAAGATAGGCCGCAGCAATTGGCTGTATTGGCATCAGTGTTGTAATTCGAAGCGTACAGTCAAGGTATACGGACCACAAGTGCTGCTGCAAGCCAATCGTCAATGCCCCACTCAACAGAGAGAGGTGGTAAGCGTGTGATGAATCGTAGTATCAGGGCTACAAGAGCGATAGAAGCTACAGCAATCACTTCCTTAAATAGTGGGGCTGACTGGTTTCGGATCGGAGAATTGCATGTGGAATGGAACATGTAAAGTCCCTCTGTCACTTTCGTTAGCATGACTGTTTCGATAGAGAGGACTGTGAACCAAACAAACCATAATAGCCAAGGACTGGGCAGAACCACGCCAGACATGTATCAAGGCCCTGTGCAATATCTGGATTTGGGCAGAAACACGAGGGGTCAAGAGGATCGCATCCAGTCGCTTCAAGATACCCGAGCGTGCATGCTTTCTAGGTGACGTCAATGTCAGCTTGGAATGGAAAGAACACAGGCCTCGTTGGCTGACTGCAAGGGCAAAAAGTTATAGTGTAAGCATACCGCGCACTGAGGAATTTCATCGAATACACCACCGACAGTGACATTCAAAAACCACCTCTGGCGAAAGCCATCGTCTCCTGGACTTTGTGCCTGTACACTGTAGATGCTTGTTGCCAAAGCAATAGCCAAAGCAAACAATCGCATCTTTCCCCCAAGTATTCAACGACGACAACCGCACACTACAAGAGACGCAAATGCTTTTCAAGCCCGTACTTTGATGAGCGAAAGCTTTGCACCCAGATCAAGTAGAAAAGAAAAGGAAAAAAACAAGGTCGGCAAATAATATATTCGACCCACAAAAAACTTGCAAAAAGTGACGAAGACAAGGAAGGATACCCGGGCAAAAAGGGTTTTAACAGTTTGCCTCTAGGGATAAGAATTAAGAGAAAAAGATGCTAAATGGAATATCTTTTTGCCCCAAAACAGTGCTAAAAAAGATGAAACTTGCAGGGCTCCTCGCCAACAACTTTAGCGGCCTCGCCCTTCCCCCATTACCTTTGGGCCCCTCTCCCCTTTATTTTGCTTAAAACCCAAAGCGAAAAAAGAACATAACTAGACAAGTAGAGGAATGTCATTCTCCGTCCTAGCGTAAATCGGTAACTACTGCTAGATTTTACTGTCAGCACTATGATATTTGGTCCCATGGGGCAGCGCGGGATGTGGTTTTGAGATTCGTGGCTTTATCGGAGGATTGACTGCGGTTTGGGGCCAAGCTTAGACGTTTGGTGGGGAGGGGGAACCATTCACTGCTTTCTTTTCTTTCTAGGAGCCGAGACTGCTCGTTGAACGACTTTTTCAAAACGCCTCCAGGGACCATGGCCCGTCCTGGGGTCCGTCTGCTTTTTTTCTTTCTCCGCGATTGCCAATTCGACATATGTTTTTAGCACAACAAGGCTTGAGTCGGCAGTTAGTCGGTTGGCGCGTGCGTCATCCATTAGCTCTGTTTTTAACGTTTGATGAAGAGGTCGTGTACGATAACCCCAAGTTACAGACGCAGTATGGCCAAACGAGATGAATGATTTGTTGAGCGGTGCATAACGTGCATATGTATGTGCGTATGTACGTGACTTGGAGGGATGTTATTGCATCTTTGTTTTGCGGCAGTTGAGTCTCATGTGGAGACCTGTGAATGCATTGTTTATCGCGCTGACACGAAATGAACATGTATGCTTTTTGTTTCAAGATGCCGTTGATATCGATCGGTGCTCGACTGGGGCACGGCAAAAGCAATCGCAATGGCGGTTAGTGGTCAGCATGGGTACATGGTTCCGCTGCCGTGTTGCTTGTCGTCGTCGTGGTTGTCACAAAAGGATGCATGACAGCCTTAGCACAGCCAGCCACGGACGCGCTTGTGAGATCTGGGCCTGTATTCAAGTATGACTTGTGCTAGCAGATGGGCTGTCATGATCGAGCCCCTGGACTACCACGTGTTGCCCAACGGGAGTCTCCCCAGCCGTGCGCGCCCGTGCCAAGAGCTACTGGGAGCCAAGCACATCACCGCCTGTACTGATAGCATAGGGCTCAGGGCCAGGATAGCTTCATCAAGAAACATTACCAAGATATTACCAACAGACTAGCCATACTCATTGGCTTGTATCGGTCTTTCACTGTTTGTTCGGAAATTTCTAAATACTCGCCTTTATATTGCGGTGCTGATCTACCCACTCTTTTACCTACAGTTTACCCCTTCTGCTGTCGACGGCTTGTCTCAGCTTCTTGATCACGTCGCCAGGGTCCGCAGCGCCAAAGACAGCGCTGCCCGCAACAATGACATTGGCACCGGCATCGGCAGCCTGGTCAATCGTCTTTTCGCTCAAGCCGCCGTCAACTTCAATGTGCATTTCGGGATACTTTTGTCGAAGAGCGGTCACTTTGGGGAGTTCAGATGCCATAAAGGACTGACCACCAAAACCGGGCTCTACCGTCATGACCAGGACCATCTAGCAACGTCAGTATTTGTGCTTAAAACCATGTGGCACTGCGCGGTGCCATTGTTGATTCGTGAGGTTATTGATCCTGCAGCGGGAACAGCCAGCGGCGCAGGCGGCCGAGGGCTGGTGCATCGAGTTGCAAAGGTTTGCATGCTTAAGCGCCGCCACAGCGTACCGCCGACACCCAAACATTGTCAGCCCTATCAGCCACGGACTGGTCGACCACATTGGCGGCCCGTCTGACCAATATATACCGCGCGCATTCCCATTGTGCTATTGATTCCGGCGGGCGTAAGGGTAGCAGTGCAGGGGACATGAACTCACATCAGGCACCTCTTCCTTGTTTGGGCTGTCCAATATCTCCCACAGTACGTCGACGGGCGTGCTTGGCTTAATGGCAATACCGGCTTGCATGCCCTCGGCATGGATGAACCGAATCAGTTCTTTTGGTGACGTCTTTTGGTCCGACTGTCCACTGGGCGAGTCGGCGGCAGTAGACGACACGGCGGCCTCATAGTGGAAGCAGTAGAGGTCGCAACCGGCCTTCTTGAAGTCGCGGACCCAGCGCTTGGGCTCGGCAATCATCATGTGGCAGTCAAAAGTACCCTTTGCATATGCCGTGGTGGGGCGGTCAACGTGTGAGCGGATCTTTGTGACGACGGGGGCGCCAAATGTCATGTTTGGCACAAAGTGGCCGTCCATGATGTCCACCTGCACGTCGTGTCAGTCGCGGGGCTGGCGAGGCTGCGGCTACGGCTACGGCTACGGTGCGCATACATGAAGCCAGTCGGCGCCTTGGGCAATTGTGTCTGAGCAAGCCTTGCCCAGCGCTCCAAAGTCGGCGGACAGGATAGAAGGCGCAATGATGGCGGGCGGTGACATGGCTGGTGAGGTGTGTCTGTGAGTGTATTCGCCTTGGGTAATGGCACCAATGGCAGAGAGGGCGCGGTTGGGTCGGGATTCTAGAACAGATATGTAGACTTGTACGTCTGTGCCGTGCTGTGCTGTGCTGTGCTGTGCTGTGCTGTACCCGGAGCTCACGATAGCTTTTTGGTGTTGTGACGACATGGCCCAGCGTCACGCCTGCCCCGCCCCGCCCGTCAATGCCCCGCCCGCATGCTTGGCACGTCTTCACCGCACAGCAACCACTTGGACACAGCACAACAGCAGCATCTAACGTACATTCTCGCATACGCATGAACTCGCTATTACCTCGCAAACTATATTTCAAGGCTGGCGGTCAGACGGGACGGACTTGGCAGCACGAGATGGGCTGCGCCAGTGGGCGACTATGCTGTCCAAGCAATGCTCGCCTCGCCATTGGCCCGCCGTGCTCAAAGCGAGGGCTGCAAATAGCACAGCCCGGCGCGTAGACAGCAAAACATCCAACCACATCGGACACAACACGGCCTCGCTAACCTCCAACGGCTAGCCTCTGGTAAACACCATCTGCTCGTAGGCGTTGTTGGTCCAATCATGCCCTTCTCCACCATGGTCACCATGTCGTGGCCACTATTGAACCGCCATTGTCTCTCCACTCACTCGCACCGTAGCTCGGACAAATCCAACGAGTAGCCAGCGTCTATCTGCAATATATCCCATCGTCGCCGCGCCCGCGCCGCATTCCCTCTTGCTGTCATTCACTTCTAGCCCTTTTCCGAGCCTCCTTTCCCTCGCAAAGTCTTCGTTGATCGAAGTATTCCCCAGTTTTTCTAGTAGGCTGTTGACCAGCGCAGTTCAGGGCTATAGCCCAAATTAATATCCCCTTCTCTTCGGCCCCCGGTACTTCGGTATTTGCATCCTTCACACCTACGCCGCAATCCCGCCCCCTCGGATTTCAAAAGTATCTTTAGTAATAATTGCAAGAGGCGGTGCTCACGGCCCCTCCCCCAAAATATCATGATGCCCCAGATGCTCGAGCCTGCAGTATACCATCCTGCGGCCCCCAGCACCAGGGTACCCTCCCACCATGCCTCGTCTCCGCTGGACCAGAGACAGGCACTTAATAATACCACAAACGACGACTGTCCCATCCCCCCTTACTACCTTGCTCGACACTCAACCTCTTCGCCATTCCAGACCAGTCCAACATCGCCATCCATCATCGACGACTTCCCTACCCCCAAGGCCCGCCTGTTCTACATGTCTCAACAGTCATCACCGCCCTTGCCTACCCACTCGGCAACGTTCCCGCCACCGAGCCGGCAGAGCCGTACAGACAGTGACTTCGACTCCTTGTACGACATCACTGATGATGAAGCCGAGGTGCCTCTCCACGCATCAGCATCAGTCAAGAAGCTTGCAACACAGCCAAGGAGAAGACGCTACCCATCTATTGTCATCCCCTCCCCATCTGCTTGGCCAACTATTGAGAAGTTGAAGAGTGCCAACTCGGCCATGCCCGTCACTCCCTCATTGATGCTCACTCCTTCACGCCGTTTCCTCGACATGATCAACTCTCATAATCTGCAGGTGCCAGAGCACTCAGCCGCCCCGTCCTTGGATGGCAGCCTCACATCAGAAGAGATGGACAGGCTCAGCTGCCCAGCTACTCCAATATCACAGCGCAGGTGTGGATCCCCCTCAAGCTCCGACTCCTGGGGTCCTGTCCAACTCGACCTTCAAGCCATGGAGACGCTCCAGCACCTTGGCAACTCACCTTCCACTGAACAGCACGACGCGTCAAGGCAACAAGAGCCAGGAACAGGCGTGACAGGAGGTGAGATGCGCGAAGTTTCTCGGCCTAGTCTCGGCCTCAACATCCCCTCTGCCTTTTTCGGAAATGGATCCTCTGGTAGTACTCCCATCTCTGCCCTCTCAGTCCCATCGCCAGGCGGCTTCTTCTCTTCACTGCAATCGACCGCTCGTCACACATGGAGCATTCCTAAGCGACAGGATTCTATCCCAAACACTTCCACTGCTGAGAAGTTTTACAATCTTCCATGGGAGAGGGAGAGCCGCAGAAATACCTCTCCACACCCCGGGCCAGCGGTACCGGCTCCTCCACGCCGAAACTCTACTTTACAAGGATCCACCCTTGATGGTTTTGACGAGCCTTTGCCAACATCACGACCGGTCATTCTCAGCCCGACTGACGAAAATGTTGAGATTAAGGAGATCAATCCTAGCAAGACGGTGTTCCAGTATAATGAGAACTATAACGCTGAGCTCCAAAAAGCATCTTCTGCGAATCTTGAAATGACGGGTCGGTGGTTGGAGGAACAAGATGAGCTACAGGCTGCGCTCCGCGATATCAACGACATCAGCTCGCCCAGCCTCTCCAGCGGAACTCACAGCCGCGGCAACTCACTCGACAAGGCTGTGGTCAAGAAATCGGTCAAGTTTGCTGATGAGCCGGCCAAGTCTCCAGTGAAAGAGTCGGCTACTGAGCCTGTGACAACTTACGTGCAAGGCCTTGAGTACCTCCGCTCTCGTTGCCAGAAGAAGGATACGTTCATCCACCGTCAGACACGCGCTGAGGCTCTGCATGTGCAGCGTCGCTGCAGTCCATTGGCGCACCGTGATCAGCTTCTGGGCAAGTTTGAGCTCAACCAGCCGGATCGCCCAGCACCACCACGACCAGTATCTGAATTCTTTGTCAACGACCCGACTGTTTTGAAGGAGAGAATTGCACGGGCGCAGATGGAACGCCAAGCGCTCGACCAGATGCTGCCTATCCACTGGGTTCTGCAGGCCCAAAAACAACTCAATGGAGGAAGGTTGCTGAGTAAGGCTGCTGCACGACGGGTTACGCGTGCCAGTGCACCTCGCATTCTCGACATTGGCGGCGTTGCGACCAACGACTGGGCATGGGACGTTGCCTACGATTTCCCATACGCCACCGTGATTACGGTTTACACAGAAGGCAACAACATGTCTTCGAATGTCAAGGGCCCAAGCAACCACAAGCACATGACCGTCCCCAACTTGTGGACTCTTCCCTTTCCCTCGGGCCACTTTGATGTCATCTCGGCGCGCACCCTGTACGAGCTTCTCAAGACCAGGAAGCCCATGGGCAGGTCGTCGGACGAGTACGACTTGTGCCTGAAGGAGTGCTACCGATGCCTGAAGCCCGGAGGCATTCTCGACTACTCACTCATGGACGCAGATGTGGTGCACGCAGGCCGCAACGCGCAAGCCATGGGCGTCGAGTTTGGCTTCAACCTCAAGACACGCGGCTATGATGCGCAGCCCACAAAGGCTTTTCTCCCGCGCATCTCCAAAGCTGGATTCAAGGAAGTGCAAAGAGCTTGGATGTTTCTGCCCATGGGCAAGACGGCCGCCAACTGGCGCGATACGCTTGCGGTTGGAGCTGAGCCGAAGCACCAAGAACGTAGGATTGCAGAGGATGGTAGTATTGAGGTTGAGGATGCGCCAGTACTCGGCACGACTATTGATGCTGCGATGCTGACTGGTATTGTCGGTAGCTGGGCGTGGGAGAGGTGGCTGTTGAGATTGCAGATGGAGATGGGCAAGGATGAGGACAAGTTGCTTGAGGGTGTAGTCAATGTGCTGGAAGAAGGCGCACAGGGCCACTCTGGATGGAGGACCTTGACTGGTTGGGCGAGGAAGTAAGTGATTTTTAGATTTACTGGGTTTTGAATAAGAGATAGGGACGTATGAAATGATGTCTATGATAGGATCTGGCAAAGATATTTTGGAGTTGGGTAAGGGTTGTTGGCTGGACACGACAAAGGATTGATACCACATTGACTTTTCTTTTTCTTTTGTAAATCACTCATTTTTCCTATGTTAGACCGATTATTTTCTCTTTTGTAAATAAACTGATAAAAAGCAACACTATATCAAGATGCATAAGACTCTGTGAAGTTTGCAGTGAAAACGTGTGTTGTTCTGGAAGTGAGTGGTAGCAGTTGAACCCAACCTGGTTTTCGCCTCTTTTACCTCGACGTTGGCTGGCGGGCACCCCACACGGCCCCTGCGCAACCTTCCGTCACTCCGCCCGCCATCCAACACCAAAAGTCGCGACAACAACGACACGCCTTGCCATACCCACCCCGCCGCCACCGCACCGTACCCGCGTCTACATCAACTCCCGGCTGCGCCTTTCGCCAACCATGTTATTCTTCAGGTCCGTCATTCTTCCTGCCCCGCTCGCCCTCGTCTCCTCTCGAGAACCACCACAAACCACAAACGTCACCTTCACTCCATACTAACACAAATACCACAGCTTCTTCAAAACCCTCGTGGAGCATGAAATCACAGTAGAACTCAAAAATGAAGTGCAGATCCGCGGAACGCTCAAGAGCGTAGATCAGTACTTGAATATCAAGCTGGACAATGCCGAGGCGGTGGATGAGCTGAGGTGGCCGCATTTGGTACGTTTTTACCCTCCTTCTTCCTCTTTCTTTACTTTGGAGTGCGAAACATCACATTTGGGCAACAACAAAAAAAAGTGGGAAGCGGTGAAGCTAAGGAGGAAGGAGGGATTGGGGGAATTAGGAAAAGGGAAAAGGAAGATGAAGGCTAATGAGAAAGTAGTGCTCAACCAAGGACATGTTCATTCGCGGTTCCGTTGTACGCTACGTACATCTACCTTCGGGCGCGGTGGATACAGCGTTATTGGAGGACGCGACGAGGAGGGAGGCGGAGGCGGCGAAAAACAAGGCGAAGTGAGGGGTGGGCTGTACACAAAGGGAAGATGAAGAAGAGGAATGTGGGATTGAGAGAGAGAGAGAGAGAGAGAAAGAGAAAGGGGATATGGGATGTCTGGAGTGCACAGTATGAATGTGGAATCGGTCGGGAAACAAATGGCATTTACGAGGGCAATGAGGAAATAGGGCGTAAGGAATTGTGGTATACCCATTTGAACCAAACGAGAGGAAAAAGAAACCAAAAGGAGAGGAACCATCATCCGGTCAAAAATCCTGGGGGACATGAAAGTAATCCAGTTCATCGTGACCATGCATCAAAATAAAAACATAACACCATCAGACCCGCGGCTTCACAAAAAAATCAAACTTGCACAAACAATCCCATAAACACGCCCACTCCCAGCCGCCCAGACCCCCATTTCAAACCGGCCCTTTTTCTTCTTCTTACTCTTTTCCTCATATCTCATAAAACCTCGCTTAGAGAGAAACAGAGAAAGGGAACGGGACAAAATGGCAAGATGAACATGTTTTGGGTTTCCAAAAAGGGTGCACACACACACACACACACACACACACACACACACACATGGTTTTCATACAAGCGAACCATGTGTGAAAAGTAAGCACGGCAGTTGAGAGAGGCAGGGAGGCAGGGCAGGCGGGCGGGCTTTTGGCCAAATTACATACGTGCATGCCAGTTCATGGGGAACCAAAAAAAAAAACAGAACCGGGGCAAGTTTGAAACAAGCACGTTTGTATGAAGCCGTTTGACCCCCTTGTGAGCGTAGGCATTAAAATGTACCTAATAGCACCGCCCTTGCATCCGATGGAGATTAACCAATTGATGCCCGGGTCGTTTTTTGTCTTTGACCTCCCTCTTCGCCCTTGATACCAGAGACATAATAATCATGACCATTCACCATTATCTAAGCGCAATGGGCCCCCTCCCCATGATCCTATCCTGCCTTGATTTCTTTTCGCCCACCACCCCCCCCCCCTTGGAAAGTCGAAGGACGCGGTTAATATGACTTGCATATTATAGAAAAGCGATCCACTCTTAACAGCCCATACCCAAAGTGGGCGCGCAAACGAGGACTGTTTTGCGAAAGAGAAAGAAAGAAAAGGGGGGGGGTATAATAGCCAGGACTAACTATTCCTACAGCCGGACGAAAAACAAAGCTATAGCGGAAAAACAAAGCCCAGCATTGTGGCAAATGAACTTCCCCGCTTTTCAATCATTCGATTTGTGGATGTAGGATGTGGAAAATGATACGAGGTCTTGTTCAATAACTCTAGGAGAGAATTGGGACAAAAACACAATGCCCTCCTGTGGACGGGCAATGATCAGCGCAAGGGACGTTGTCCAAAACAGATTACGCGTACGGCCGTTTACGAGGCTGACAGGAATAAGCTCTTATTGCTGATTGCAAAAAAGCGTTACCGATAGTTTGGAATCGATACTTGGCATTGGGTAACGTGTGGTTCGAGGGCACAAGCTTGTTTGCCATGAGGGAGAGAGATGGAAGGATGGGGGGACGGATGATATCCTGGTCAAGGCAAGTAATAGAAGGGAACCTCAAGCGCGCCGAAAGGTTGGCGGTTTGGTTTGCTTGGCGAACATGTGGCACATGCATGTGAAGGTGTGTTGAAGGGGAAGGGGGGCGGGGGGCGGGAGGGGTTTGGGGGGGGGGGGGGGGGGGGGGGGGGGGGGGGGGGGGGGGGGGGGGGGGGGGGGGGGGGGGGGGGGGGGGGGGGGGGGGGGGGAAGAAAAGGGCCTCGGCGCGCATTTACTCGCACGTGGAAAGCATCTTCTTGAGCACACCCATGAGGGTGCCGTTTTCAAGGGCAGCGGCAACGCGCTCCTTGTCGCCGAGCTGTTTGTTTACCTGCTCGTCTGTGCTGTGAGTGCCCTTCTTTATGCGGACATCGACGCGAAAGCGCGGGGGCAGTGCCTGCTCCAGACGTACACGCACGCCTAGGCCGATGACGGTGGCCAGCGAGCAGTGGGTAATGGTCGGGGTGATTTCGACGATGACGGTGCTGATGTTGGACAGAGGAGAGGCAGGGGGCAGGATGTGGATGTCGGGTAGGTTGACGACGGAGAGGGAGCCAAGGGACAGCGGATGCTCAGGGTCGCAGATGGTGGAAATGAGGTCTTTCATGCGTGGGGTCAGTCAGGTACAGGTAGGTAATGACGCAAGCAGGGACAGGAGAAAAAAAACTGACCATAGATTTCCTGTTCGTCAATGGGGTCGTCATGTGTGTCGTCGCTGTCCGAGTCGGCTGGCGAAACAGGGTCGTCCAGGGGGTCGACGAGATATGTGTAGCGGGGGATCAGGTCGTCAAACAAGCCAGAGCCGGGGTGGTGCTGCCTCTTACCGGCTGCATCGCTACGGCGCGAGGGCAGATCCGACGGGTTCAGGATGGTGGGGTTGGCGTTGTCCTTGTCGAGCTCCATGGCGCTGCTTTGTGCGGGGGGAGGAAGGGGCGTGGCGGTGGTGGTGGTGGTGGTGGCTGCTTATGTTGGAGCGAGCGTGGTGATGGCGATGGCGATGGCGATGGCGGCGGTTGTGGTTGTGGTTGGTGCAGCCCCTCCATTGCACCGGCCATCGTCATTCGGCATATTGGAGCATGTGGGCAGCAGCAGCATGGCCCTGCTTGCCGCACGCCCGCTTGCCTGCACCTTGTTACACGCATACATGGCCATGCAGTACGTAACTATCTGTGTAAACGTCTATGGATGCACATAGTAGACCTTGTAAGTATCTATGTTTCCAATCTCCCGCAGATTACCCGCGAGCAGGATGGATGGATGGATGGATGCAGGGGAGAGAAGTGTGGGGTGGTGCACCGTTTGACTAGTGTCTGCGCATATCAAGTGGGCGTTGTTTTGTCCTTTCCAGGTTATGGCCTGGCGGCTGTAGGTAGAGAGACACACGCTTTCATACACACCCCCCCTTCTCCCTACGTGCGTATCGAGTCTACGTGCGTATGGTGCAGTAGGTTGGCAGCCGTGTACACTAAAGTATACCGCTCGTCGAGATGACGGGCCCCCACCGGCGAGCATCGGCAAGAGCCGACGTCGTGGCCCCGCCGGGTCAAGGTTCAAGGCGACGAGGACCGAGGATGAGGACGAGGACGGGCGGCGGTGAATTGCTCGGTCGCCTCCCGGACCACGGTTGACCCAAATCAAAGGGTTTCTCGTCGTGTTTCCAGAGGCGTGGCCTGAGACCGAGACAATCTGAGTCTCTCGTGTTGCTGCTGTCGGCTCCTCCCGCACTCTGGCGGAAATGCTTCCCAATGCGGTAGACGGTCAATCACAGGGCTGGTCGAGTACCACGGCGTGTTCCTGAGCGGCAGGGAGATCAACGCCAGAGATCAGCGCCGCCCCGGGGAGGTCGACAAGACAGGAGTCGTGGTAGCATCAGCATTAGCATTATTGGCAGCAAACAAAACGGGAGGGCTATCGCTGCGGTGCCATGCCATGGCTGCGGCATTGTTGGCTTTGGATCCAAGGGCCTGCAGCTGCATACGACTGCGACCTGCATTACTACACCTTCGATGCGCCTTCGATGGCTTGCCGGCGGCGCCAGTCGGCCGTGGCCGCCACCACCACGACCAGGACGACGAGCACTACGAGCACTACGAGCACTACGACGACTGCCACCAGCATCATACCCGCCCACCACCCGCCTGTCAGACGAGCCTCGGCTTGGCAACGCCCGCACTGCAACCCCGTCAGCCAGGCCGCCATGATTCCCGGCGACGATAGACGTACAAGCCCTGGGAACTAGGGTCCCGCGATCCCCCAGCCCCTCCAGCTGTCTTGTCGCGTGCGGCGCAAAAGCACTCGACCCGCCAGTCTGGGTACCGCTCTTGGTCAGCCATGGCCTCTCCTCCCCAGCTGCTGCACCTGGGCCTCTCTGTCCCTCACCCCCCCAGTCGACTGTCCGGGGCCTTGTCTGTTTGTCTGTCCATGTGTGGGTGCACGCAACTGCAACTGCAACTGCAACTGCAACTGCAACTCTTCTCGTCCTGCCCGCCAGCCCGCCCGCCAGCCCGCCACCAACCAGGCACACGTTGTGGCGGCTCACGGCATGAGGGGCGCCAGGCCCCCCTTCCCCGTGCGGGAGGGAGTGTCGATGCAGATGGTTTGAAGGCCTTCTCGAAGTCTGCTCGGCCGTGTTTCGCTTCGCGGGCGCAATGGTCGTGTTCAGTTCATGCGCTGCCATGCGGTAGGCCTGTCTGCCCATGTGTCTGTCCATGCAGACTAGAGGCCCTCTACCAGGCCCAAGCTGTCTTTCCCCCATGCGGCGTAGCCATGTGGAGGATTATTGTTTTATGCAGGCTGTGCTGATGGTGATGCGTCTGCCGTTAGAACCTTGCAGGCGACTGCGACTACCATGCTTTGGCCCAAATCAATTCGCCGACAAGTGTGGTGCGCGACATCGACGACCGGCTCACCGTACGGCACACGACGGCATCTCGCCAGGCCCAGTGCGCCCGAGGGCTCCTGGCCGGCTGCTCATCGAGTGAGTGTCCATGGAGATGGCACCGATCCTGAGGGCCCATGAGCAAGGCAAGGCAACGAAGCGACTGTCGGTACACGGCCCTATGCCACTCTCGGAATAGTGCCATGTCACTGTCGCCCTGTCTGTGGAAAGACGGACGTTTCGCTTGAGCTCCTGACAAGACGCTGCCAGACTGCTAACACGACGCCAAATGCTCGTACCCCTTTCTAGCCGGCTAGTACCACCACCACTACTAATTACTACTCTGACCGCACCGCCTCTAGTATGATGATGGTCCCCCCAGCTAGGCCCAAGTCCTCGTCATCGATGCCAATCTCTCGCTCCCTCGCTCGGTGCTGCAGCAGAGACCCACCCGCCCGCTTTGCCATGGCACCAGCAATGTCCTGGGGGTGAGATGAGCATTTCAGGCTTGCTCTCAGGCACCACCCGCAGCAGCACCAGCAGCACCAGCTCCAGCTCCAGCCCAGCCAGAGAGACCAATCTTCGATTCGACCACATGCATGCGCAGCCTCTCTGCCTTAATTCCCCCCCCAGTCGTATCATGTCATGCACGCTGCTAGCCATGTGTACAATCCAAGTCGTCGATGGTCGTCGTCAAGTGGTCGGGGCCCTAATGTACTTTTTCTAGGCAGTCTATCCACCGGATCCGTCCCGCCACCAGCAGCCTCTTCATCTTGGGGCACAAGCGTACGCGGACAGCCGGAAAGATTTTTGCCTTTTCGCCCGTGGTTTGCTGGACATGAGCGGCACCTGTCCCTGTATGTGTGTGTGTGTGTGTGTGCCTGTGTTGCGAGGGCGTCTGTGCCTAGCATTCGCCCGTGTGTGTGCGACAGCCTTCTTGCTTTGCTCATTCATCATCAGCTGTCAGACTCTGCCCTGCCCTGCCCTACCCTGTCTTGCCCTGTCTTGCCCCCCGCTGCTTTTATAGCAGCACCAGTTCCCGGCGGATCGCAAAGCTCAAAAAGGTCCACACTAAATACCCGTCGCTCAACATACGTGATACGATTCAGATAGCAGTAGTATCCAACGGGCGCCGCCACCCCTGCTCCCTATTGCCTCACACCCCCACAGCACGGCAGTTCCCTGTGTCCGCAGCATCTGGGCAGCGGACGCTTGCGCTCACGCGCCTGCAGCTTGGGCGCCCACACAGCGACGCTATTAGTGCGGTGCGGCTCCTGGATCCTGCACGTCGCATACCACCTACCCCTCGTCCACCTGTTTAACCCCTTCATACACGGCGAACCACTTGGGGACCACAATACCTCGAGCCTTTCAGGAGATCCATACACGACAACGCCACCATTGCGCGCGTGAGCCACGCTGCGAGCCCGCTGCCAGTGCGTCGTCGAAACCCTGGCATGCCAGACATCGTCTCCACCTGCCCTCCCTATGCGCCTGTTGCTGCTGCTGCTGCTCCTGCTGCTGCCCTGATCTGCCGTATAACCTAACCACGCCCGCGGCACTGCGGAGATTTCGCGAGCGCTATACCATCGTCAGTCACCAACCTGCACCGTCTTGCTCGTGTCTTTTGGCGGTTTAGTTTCTGCCTCATTCCGCGCAAGGCCCTCTTCTGTCCGCCAGCAACAATCTGTCACATTCTGGACCTGCCCACACCCCCTCCCGTCACCCCGACCTTCTATTGGCCCACCGCCCACGACTGCACACAACCTCACCACCTTGGTGGAGATCCCACGACCCCGCTGCCCGCAAACCACCGCGCCAGCTTCCGCGCTTCCACTCGGCTCTGCCCTGGCCTTGACTAGGAAACACAATGGCCCCAGAGACAACTGGACGCCCATTACTACCTCAAACCGCCCAAATGCAGAGCTTCACTTTTGCGCCGCCCACGCTGGCGCCGCGCGAGAACCAGCGCAGTAAGTTCACACGCACATACACACTCACACCGCCCCCATGTGCTGGGGCGCAGAAGAAGCAACTGACATGACCCATGTAGACTATGTGTTCGTAGACGAGCACAACAGACACAAGCGCTTGAAAGGTGTGATATCCCATCCCCTCACCCGCCCGCCCCGTGTTGCTCGCGCTCGCCGAGAATGGCATGCGCATGCTAACGTGATGCAGTAATGAGAGCATGCGAAGGCTGCCGTAGACGTAAGATCAAATGCGATGCCGCCACGACGAATGCATGGCCTTGCGCTGCCTGCATCCGCCTGAAACTCAACTGTGTACCACCAACCGTCAGCTACGACAAGGATTATAACGGTTCCCAGACCTTTGATCTGGAACCCAAGCCGTTGGAGTATGCTTCGGATGTGCCTTCCCAAAATGAATTCCAGCGGCAACCATCCATGACCCAGGCCATGCCTCACCAAATGCCGCTGTCCATGGCCGGTGCTGCCCAAGGCATGTATCAGCCTTCGCCCTATGTGGACCAACAGTCGCAAGACCAATGTCACTATCAGCCCTTGTCGCAGCCTCAGGTAGTCCAGCAAACAATGGGCTATGCTCCCCAACAACCCTACCCACAAGCATCATCCGCACCACCAACCATCTTGACCCCACCCGAGTCGGAACCTCACTGGCGGAGTGATTCGGCTTCGAGCTTGTCGGAAGCTCTCGGCGAACTCAAGATAGATCACACTGCTGTCGGTAGGTTGCATCAAAGCCGTTTGCAAAAGCACGATCCCCCAAGCTGACAAAATACAGCACCCTACATCACAAACATGAAGAAGGCTTTGGCCGAAACACCAGCCCAAGAGGAATATGAGGTACAATTACCACAATCGGTCAGCCTGGACCATACCGTCCGCATACCACCAGAAATGATGCCTTCGGATGAGCAGGCTTTACAGTATTTCGACTATTTCTTCACCAACGTACACCCCTATTGCCCGGTCATCAACAAGGCCTACTTCTACCAGCAGTGGCACAGTGCGCCAGATTCAATCTCGCCTCTTATGCTCGAGGCCATCTTTGCCTGCGCTACATTGATGCTCGGAGACGTGGATGAAGGCAACAAGTGGCTAGCGCTTGCAACGAGTCAGTGATCTTCTGTTTTATTACTGACTCGCTTTACTGACTATAGTCATAGGGCACGAAGAAAGTTTTAGGGACGTATCGCGACTCAGCACAATGCAAGCCATGACTCTTCTTCTCAAGGCTCGCGAAGCATCGCCAAAGCGCGGGTACTTTTGGCGCTCTTGGATGGCTACCGTCAGCCTTGTGGCAATGGCAAAAGACTTGGAGTTACACGAGCATTACGACATTCATCAAATGGGAAAGTCGTGTGGCTCAACACCGCACGACTGTGTTGCAAAGACGAGGGTGTGGCAGATGTGCATGGTTTTTGAGGTGATGATTGGCGGTCCGCAAGGTAGGCGACCTGTTTCAATTACGCGACTCAGAATACTAACGCGATCGTCACAGGTCGCTACGATTTTGGTGTTGATATTGACACTGTTGATTTGGAAATGCCCAGGTCAGTTGCTGGACTGGATCCTGCGGAGGTCCAAATCGCGCGTCAGTTTATCCAGTTTTGTCGCATCGCCAAAAACGTCTATCATTCGGCCTCGATATTCAAAAAGCTAAGGAACAAGACACCGGACTGGCCATTGGACCCTTCTTTCGTGGCCCACAATACCGACTTTTCCATTTGGCTTCGAGAACTGCCCGAGGATATGCAGCTTGTCTACCCCCAGGATGGTTCAGCTCCCTGGATCCCGTCTCACCAGATTGCCAACATGCACAGCTATCAATACCTGGCCACCGTAATGCACTTCCGACCTCAATTGCATGCCGTGTCTGACTCGTATGACGGCATATGGAAACAACATATGCTCACGTGTTACTCAGCTGCCAAAAGTCTATGCAAGCTACAGGAGGCTATCCTCAAAACTTACGGCATGCCTGGTCTGTTGTGCGCGGTGCGAGGCATCAGCTTCCACATCTATGCCCTGCTCACTTGCACCATGCTTCATCTAGTAAGTTGCCTATTTACAACTCTCGTACGCGCTCACTAACAGTGATAGGTGGCCGTGACCTGCCCTGACCCAGACATCAACCACGACGCCAGAGAATTTTTCGTGAGGCACATGCGCGTTCTGGAGACCATGTCACCTTCGTTCCCAATGCCCGAGATGCAACAGCAAATCAACAGCCTTCGCCAAGCTTTCTCGGCTGACTGCTCCAAGCCATTTGAGCTGAAACCATCGTTTCCCTTTGGAAGTCCTCAGGTGGCCCCGCAAACGAGCCCCATGAGCCACCAAGGCTCTTACCGGTCTCGTCACGCAAGCCATTCATCGCCGATGGAACAACCAGGTCAGGTCAACTACCATGCACATCCCATTACTCCACCAATCTCGGCATCCGACCACGGATCAAAGGCTGACTCTCCAGTAGCCCAGTCTTTGGTCATGATGGCATCGGGTCAACGTGCGCCTCAGTCCGTATCTAACTTGCAAATGCCGGACAATGTTCAATGGAATCCACAACGCATATTTGAGTGAGTTATCCTGTATCACCAAGGAGCTTGTGCGCCATACTAACGTGTTGCAGTCAATGGAATGTTGCCTTTGGTACGCCCCCTCCTACTAGCGCCTCTTCCCAGTCTTCCCCGCCGCTAAGACCCACTCCTTCAGGAACCAGCTACGACATGCGGCAGGCGCAGGAAGCCATGCAACCCAACTACCAGATGGCCAACACCTCTCCCCAGTCCAGCCATATTCATGCCGCGTCTGGTCAGATGCCTCCATCGTCAACTTATAGCAATCCTGCGCCCGTTTACGTCACTCCAACCATGTGGCAGGAGGCCGTCACAAGTTCTTTACCAGATGGCCTTAAGCGCAGGTGGGATGGCAACTCTATGCCAGACCAATCCATGTACAAACGATCGCGTTGATACGACAGAAGAGGATGTGACACATCACATTACTTGCACCAGGACCTATCAGAGGAGCTTCATGAGAGCAAAACAGGCTCAAGGGTACAGCAAACTACGTATGGACACGGCTAAGAGATTCGATGCTGGATTTTCCCTGCAGAAGAACAAAAAACCAGGAGGAAGATAGATTTGCTGCACGTGTTAACTGTCGATTACACATTCCCTCAAGACTGCTGTGCGGTCCCACGGGTATCGTTTTCTGTCCCAAAAGCGGTTTCAGACAGCCATCTTGGCTTCGCTACCAGCCACTCTATTGGATTGCGAATAACAGCCGAAGCACACTATGCACACCACGACACAAGCGCGGATGTACGATATATTGACCTTGCACCATACGCAAGCACGACTGGAATAATGAATAAGCAGCGCTATTGGCAGAATTTAGCGTATTGCTCTTACTGTAACACTAAGTACACTGGCTAGACAAAAAAACTTTCAAGTTGTCGCTACATTTACACGGACCTTCCTCATTCATTCGGGTTACTTTGTGTGATATCCACTTGTCGCATGGGCCCATACTTATGGGGGCATTGCGATAACCTCAACAATATGACGGCTCAGTTCCTGAAGCATTCGGGCCTGGCGGGTGGTGTCCCACGGACTTGTAGCAGGCTGGAACTCCGTTAAGATTGATACTTGGATCAATTGGTGTCCCATACGCTCTCTCCACTTGATCCTTCTTGTTTTGTTGCAGGATGCAAGCAAAGCCGTCTCAGCTACCAGCTTGGACAGGTAACAAAAATCATGAGTTTCCATGTAGACACATGCGTCATACGCCATTGTTTGTTCCGGCCACTACCATATTGCTCGGTTGGCGAAGCCAGACGGCCGAACATCTGCTTTGCGCCAACGCGCCAATCAGAAGGCTACATGTGGGGTGCAGCAGCATGGTGGCTGGCCTGAACTTTCCAACCTCCTTTCAGTCCTATTGTGGAAGGAGTCTAGCTGCTGTCGAAGTCACGTCTGATAGGTCAATATGAAGTTGGAAATTTGACGACCATTGGACAGTCGGACCGCTATTCATTGCACGTTGCCACGAAACCCTGGCCTGGGCAGTACCGGCAATCAAATCCGTGGGCCTGTTGAACCAGGTTTCGCAGTTCTAGGCAATATCGAGCACACCCACAAGGCTGGGAAAGATCCCGAGGCTCAACGGTCTAGCGTCGATGTCTGTGGCAGGAATTCGGCATGTGAAATCGTTGCTACGCACTGACTGGTAGTCGACAGCGTCACCCTTGCAACCAGGGCCCTCTGGGCTAGTTGACACGGACCGCCTTCGTAATGTGGAGAAGAAGGCGCTAAGGAATCAAAAGGATCAATCTCGACATGGGAGGGACGGGTGGTAGTCAGCGTACGCTACTGCAGCGTATCACTGTACATGTACATGTGGTGTACGTGTGAGCATGCGGTTATCAAACCTAATACACGCAAAAGTTACATCGGCAAATGCAGCTAGCTAGCAAACAGCAAAACTCGCCCATGCGCTTCCCTTCCCCCACTTATCGCACCAAAGGTTATGCATTTCTATTACCCTTCTCTCCCCCACAGATTGTTGCTGCCTCTTTGCAGGCACGCGCAGGCGCCCAGAAGGACCATACTCAATTCGCAAACCTTAGTCCTTCTTTCCTTTCTTCCTTCCTTTTCTATAATCCCAGCAATCTGCAACTACCCCTCCTCATCCTCGTCAACCTCATCCTCCTTCTTCTCCACACCCCTTGACCCCTGGTTTCATCGCTCCTTTAACGAGGGACTAGACTTATACCCACATTTTTTTGGCTCTTCCTCTCGTCCTGAACAACCCCACCGATAGCAATCACACTCGCTTTGGTCCACACCGACCACTCCCATGGACAAGCGCGCTCGACTCGTCCGTACATTCTGTGCATGTGCATTGAGTCAGGTGGGCTTGGCACAAGAGTGGAGAGGTGTGTGGGTTAGGAGGGTTAGGTTGACTCGATGCCGATCTGGCGATTGCGCGACTATGGTGCTGGGGGGGGGGGGAGCATCACCCCTGGCCGGACTTACAAAACGCATCATGATCGTCGTTTTCGAGGCAAACAGGATAGGAAGGAAGTGGGAAGGGGTGGGTTGATGGGGGGAGGGGCGGCGGCGGCGGCGGCGACGGCGCTGTCGGCTCGTGTGGGAAGCCGCCGGATGGCAAGGCGGCGAGCGGGTCAATTCCATGACTCTCTCTTTGTTTCTCATCACGAGGAGTATGTAAAAAAAAATGGGTAAAATGGGCATATGTTGTATGGATGTACTATATAATACAGAGAGAAAAGGGCCGGTTTTGGGAGGGGAAGCCTCCGCCTTAAGTGTTTGTTCGTATTATTGTCATTTTTTCTCTCTCTTCCTATTTTGCAAGTGGGCCCCTCCTCCCCTTGCTGTTTTAATCTTCATGCAAATATTTTAGTTGGGGTTTATAAGACCTATCTGGTCTGGAATTTTGCTATACTAAAAAAATTCTTTTGTATAACTGTGGCGATGATTTTGCAAAAAAAAAATCTTTGAGAGAGCAGAAGGGTGAGTTCCGCAACATAAGTAGACTTCCAAAAAAAACACATCACGTTACATATCTCGAATCTTACCTAGTAGTACTAACTATCTTTTTTTGATTACTGATAATTTTTCTTCGCTCCCCCCCCCCCCCCAGTTTTCCCGGCGCTTCTTTTATACTATTTCCAACTTCCACCTTACGTCACTGTTTGGTATTCTTCGGCCCGTAATCTACTTATAACAGAATCACCTCTTTTTTTTTCCTTTGAAAGAAAGTCCGGCGACCGAGAGAGTGGGGAAGGGGGGAGGGGTTGTTAGTTAGTTACTTTGTATTTCGCCCCGCCACTGCCCTCACCGATCATCTAAGTAGGTAACTCTATGCGTGATGTTTGCTTTAAGAGAGAGAGAGAGAGAGAGAGAGATAAAAAACGGCTATTTTAGCGCGGTTGTTATCGGGCCTTGTTTCTTTGCCTCTTTATGGGTGTCGGGTATGGACTACGTAGCCCCGAGGGGAGGGGGGGGGAGGCCTTATCGTACGTTTGAACAATGATCCTGCTGCGTTTACTAGCAATCCCTTGTTTTTTTGTGTCTTTTTCTCTTCTACACACGTGAATTAAAGGGGGGGGGGGTTTAAAGTGTGCAATAGGTTCATGGTTATGCACTCAAGTCGCATAACGTACAAAGAAACAGGACCCGAAGACATCCGCTCGAGCGGGGGAGAAGACGAAGATGAGGTTAAAGAGAATTGATGGGTGGGAAACATAGGGCCGGGGTTGTGGGAATCGTAGGGCTGGTAGTAGATGAAAAAGACTAGAAAGTATTGAACGAGTTGTTTGGCATGAAGGGCCGGGTAGTATAATAACTTTTTTGTACATAATTGTGTACGAGATGTAGTTTACATTGGCGTTTTATGCAGAGGGGTTTTCTCCGGTAACGAGGCGTGATGGGCGGGTTTGCTTGCTTGAAGATGGGCGCTTGCAGCTAGGGCGGTTGGAGTCGAAGATGCATATCGCCCCTAGGTTCTTGCTGTACGTAAGGGAGTACGTACACAGTAGTAGTAGTATTCAAATGCCTCGGGATTGGAAAGGCTTGGCAACCCCGGAACTTGGTGAGACTAGTAACGGAAGTGATCTATCCGTTGATTGAACGACATGGCCTTTTTTGGCAGGGACAACGCTGCTTTTCTGATTTGTACCAAGAGATTTCGGGCCTGACATTCCGTACCTGTTGCAAGAGTACAAATTGTAAATGACGATATCGGAAGCTAGTAAAATTCGTCAGAATTGGACTAATCCTCACGCATGGCAATCCTAGGATGCCCTTCGTTCATCGCCATATGCCAAGATCGGTACAGCACTTTGATCTTTCGGAAGTACTGCGTTTAGGATTACGCCTACAATGGCAGCAATAACAAATGGCGTTTCCACCGCGAGATTGATTCCTTGCTCAAACCCGATCAAGTTCTCGTTTGGCCCGTTGTATGCCAGAACCTGGGCAAACCAGTCAGGCTGGCAGATATCCATGAACCCGATACCAAGTGCGACGGCGAGAATGAAGCGGTCGCGCCGTGTCCACGAGATGAGTGCGAGGACGCGAATGCCCGCTACGGCAATGGTGCTGTAGAGGAAGACTTGCATACCACCGAGCACCGAGGGAGGCATAGAAGCAAAGACAGCCCCAAATTTAGCAACGACTCCCATTAGAACCAGAAACCCACTTGCTGCCCAACCCGCTCGACGAGACGCACAGCCCGTAAGCACTATGACACCATTGTTTCCAGCTTGGCTGACCATCGGTGGACCGGTCGCAAGTGCACTGAGGAAACTGCCAATGCCATCGCACAAGATACCGCCCTGGACTCTGCTGTTGAACACCGTACCCTCGATATCCACATCTGACAACTCGGCCGTAGCCAGGATATCCGGGATACACGACACCGCTTGGCACGCAAACATGATGATCATCGGTAAGACCAGCGCTCCATCAACAGACAGGTTGAACGTATGCACCCAGAGAAACGTGCCGCCAGGCGCCCGATCCAGCTGTTCAGTAGACCAATATCCCGTTGCGCCCGACACGGCGCAGCCAACCGCCAAACCGATGACTACAGAAGCCGAGCGCATGAGCGGCGCACCAACAGCTTCTACAATGACAATAGTAGCAAATACACTAAACCCCAGCCCTATCAACTTCGGATGCCCCCAAACCAAGGGCCTCGGAGCAGAAACATCCGGACAAAGCGCATAGAACCCCTCGCCGTGGTGGCAATTCGAGGACCCGCCCCAGTTCTGCAGTCCATTGCCGACAAGATACACGCCGATTAACGTAAGTAGCGATCCAGTGATGAGTTTTGGAAAGACTTTGTTGAGAAGTTTTGGGGGTACAAAGGCCATCCCTATCTGGATCCAGACGCAGCAAAGCATGGTACCTAAGCATGCGCCCCAGGCGTCTGGGCACGATGCTTGTGTTCCGTCGGCGAGAATAGGGCAAGTGCCGGATTTGTAGCGCAAGGCGGCGTAGTTGAAGACGATCGGGAGGATGTCGAAGGTGGGTCCGACGACGCTGAGCAGGCCGGTGCCGATGAAGAAGGGGGTTTTCGCGATGTGGAGGCGTGTGACTTGCAGGGCTGTTGCGAGACCGGTGGTGATGAAGGCGGTGGAGACGAGGTACGTGGTCATTTCTGCGTCGAAGTTGAAGGCGCCTGAGGCGATGGCGAGGGGTGGGGAGACGATGGAGCCGATCATTGTGAGGGCGTGTTGGAGGCCGAGGAGGAGAGTTAGAAGGATGGGGACGCGGTCGTTTAGGCCGTAGAAGGGGGCTTTGTAGTTTTTGTATTTTCTGTTCAATGGCCAGATGTTTGGGGTGATTAGGTAGACGTAGTCCTTGGTGTTGTTGGTGTTGATATTCTGAGTACTTTTGTTTTTAGGAAACTCACATAGTTACCGATCCAGCCATCTTTCGTCGTAAATGAATATTTGAGCTCTGCGAGCGTATCTTGCCATGTTGTCGTTACAGTGCCTACTTCGTGGCTGGTTACGGGCGAATATGGTGCTGTTTCTTCGGCGTACTTTGACTTTTGCTCCACCTCACTTGGAGGTTCCATGGCCATCGCTGCTATCAGTTCAATTTGAAGCGTCAGCTACAATTTCAAGTAGCTTTGCGTAACTCTGGTAGACGCGATCGCGCTGTATGTATATACAATATGGTCCCTGCCATTGCCATTTCGCGGTGCTAAGCCGGCGGCGCGCGTTTCCTATGATAGGCGTTCGTGAGTTCACAGAATACCGCGATAGCCAATCCACTGGAGACCCGCTATCAGAGGTAACATAACAATCAATGGGCATAAGAACTTTGTCGGCATGTCCTGTAAAGTAAGGTAGACAGTATGACGATAAGGGGATGTTATCATGTTAGCGTCGGCCGCCCCTTGTCACTTTAGGCGAGCTGGCGGAAACGGAGATTGGCAGTATACACAACGCTGCACTCATGGTTAGAGGACAGCAGATGTCCATTTGTACAGAAATTGATTGACTAAAGGCACGGGCTATTTGGTTTCGGAGCCCGCTTCTAATTGATACTTCTGTTCACATCCCAATTTATATACATCAACATCTCAAGGAAGAAGGCTGGCTACATTTAAAAGCTGAATTTACTGCAGACATCTCAACACTCCCAAAAGACCTCAACTCTTGCCAAGGAAACGATGTGTTCGTTAAGCACAGCTCCCAGACGACTATTAGTCCATGCGACCATCATAACCGTCAACAAGAACCGGGAAGTTATCCTGGACGGCGCACTACTCATTGAAAATGGTCGCATCACATCGCTTGGAAAGACTGCAGACCTCCTGAAGCAAGTAGAATCGGAGAGCAACCAATATATCGAAGTCATAGATTGCACGAACAAAATAATTATGCCTGGTCTGATCAACACACACGCACATCTAGCACAGTCACTATTACGGGGCCTCGCCGAGGACCTCACACTTCACAATTGGCTGTGCGACGCGATTTGGCCGTTGGAAGCAAACTACGCCGAAGACGACGGCTATATCGCGTCCATGTTGACGATAGCCGAGATGCTCAAGACAGGAACAACATGTTTCCTCGAAGCCATGCTCACGCACAGAAGCGGGCTTGAAAACGTGGTTCGAGCCGTACAAGAGACCGGCATACGAGCTTGCTTAGTAGGTTTGGGGAAGATTGACCAAAGCCACTGAACAACAACTGACAAACTACCAAGGGAAAACTGATCAAGGTCGCTGAAACAAACGAAAATCTCAACATGAAGGACGCAAGAGATCGCGACGTCGACTCCATGTCCGTAGCTGCTGCACTCTCAGCCCACAAGAAACACCACAGCACCTGCAACGACCGTTTACACGTGTGGTTTGCCGCAGGAACACCTCGAGGCTCTCCAATGTCTGCACACGCCTCGATAGGCGAGACAGCGCGAACGCACAATATCGGCGTTACCATGCACTGCGCAGAAGCCCCAAAGGACCTTCCCATCTACCGGGAATACTACCAATGCAGTCCCATGCAGTTCTGCCGCGATGCCTCGCTGACAGGTCCCAAAAGCGTTTTTGCACATTGTGTACACCTGGATCCAGCAGCTGGAGATTACGATGTATTACGTGAGAGCAACAGCACTGTCTCGCACAATCCAACAAGTAATCTCAAGCTGGGTTCTGGAGTCGCGAGTATACCGGATATGGTTGCGAGTGGCGTCAATGTGGCACTGGGAACAGATGGCGCGCCTTGCAACAACACGTACGACATGTTCCGGGAGATGCATCTAGCGGCGATACTTCATGGCGGGGTGAAGCAACAGGCTGGTGTGCTGAGTGCGTATGATGTCTTGGAATTCGCTACGATAAATGGCGCCAAAGCGCTGGGATTGGATAAAGAGATTGGCAGTTTAGAGGTGGGGAAGAAGGCGGATGTTGTTGTTGTTGAACCGAGAGGCGTATCCAATGCCCCGTGGGTTGCATCTGAGCAGAGTACTGGTGGAATAGATCCAGTCACAGTGCTTGTTCACTCTTCAGGAGCAGATGTCGATACTGTGATAGTGGATGGTCAGATCCTTGTCAGCAAGGGACAGTTGTTGCACATTGACGAAGATATGGTCATAAATAAAGCAAAGGATTCGGTAGCAGGTATACGGAAAAGAAGCGGCGTGGGTGCGAGAAACCACATGTCGTTGAAGTATATATAGACTCAGAACCGAAATGAAAGCAAATCATCAAAAAGACTGTGGCCTCCCAAAACGGTTTGCGGCGGCAACATGTTCACGAAAGAGTCCCATGAAGCATCCCCCACATACTCAGGGACTTGCGCTGTTGGTGCAGAGGTGGGTATAGTGACTTGAAGGTTTTGCGACATATTGCTGATGAAGCTTTCTACATCCAACGTGCGGGCCCGTTTCCTCGATGAACAAGCCGTATCACTGGACTCTGCTGTTCGTGGGCGCTTTCTACTCCCAATCGTTCCACCCTCTCGGATCTCTCGTTGCAGCGCCGAAAGTAACTGGATACCACGCGAAGCAATTTTGCTCTCATCGAATCCTTTCAAGTAATCAACCGTATCCGCAACAAGCTTCATGTGTTCCTCGACTTCTTTTTCGTCCGCGCTTCGATGCAACGCATCGAGGCTGAGAATGATGCCTGCGGCAATCGAAAACGCCTGCTCAATCCATAGTATTGGGGCCCGCTCATCATTTTCTGATAGTGCTTCTTTCAGGATAGTCTTAGACGCTGCAATGCATGTGCGGCGAGTAAATGAGAATGCCGAATTAGTAAACGAAAGTCCCAGGAATTTTCGATGTATCATGATAATCTTGTGCGAAGCGCAGATGGCTAGAGATCGCCTTGCCCAACCTACATGGATCGGCCAGTCGTTGGCTACGGGTGCGTTGTTCGATAAGAAAGTCGGCATACAGGCTGTGGCAAGCTTCCGCATTTTCTCGTCATACTGCAGTACCTTTTCGTACTTTGTGAAAAGTGTGTTGCATTCAGCCATAGCGTCTAGCAATTGTGGCATAAGTTTAGCAATATCATAACGGTAACTACAATAGCTTGCTTGGGTGGGTACAGACAAAGGCTGAGGTATCATGTCGTCGTCGTTGCAATTCAAGAGTTTTGCGTTCTGACAGAAGCGGGGGTTGAGTGAATAGGATTCGGAAAATGGAATTTGAAACCAGTCTTGCGTACAGAGCTGGTTGAAAACTCTTCGTCCCATTTCACGGTGGCGAAGTTGCTGTTGTGAAACAGTAGTAGTTGTGCCCTCAGGGCCAAGGCGATGCAGACCTAAGCTTTGCGCAATACGTCCAGCTGAGGCAAGCAAGACTGACTGGCTATTTGATTTACCCAAAACGTGAGCCGCGATTGTCAGAGTGGCGATTGCTTGTACAGAGTAGATGGTATGATTCTCGATATAACATGCAATGTTGAGACATGTCACACTTGCTTCGTACCATCTTTTTGACAAGGCTGTCTTTTCGGCTGATGAGAATCCCCATGACTGGTATACAGATGGTGGCGCACATGTGATGCTTCCAGTGATGATGGAAAACAAAAGTCCCAGCCACTGTAGATTTAGATTCTCGCTGTGTACATTGCTTTCGTACTCTGTGAAAAATAGATCCAAATCTTGATTGAATATTGTTGACGAGTAGGAGCAATGGTACCAGAGGATACAACTGTTGTGGTATTCAACAAGCTGTAAAATATGATCCTTGCTAGGAAGGAGAGCTTCCAGAATATCGAGCTGTGCGTCTCTGCTAGCCTCGGTCATGGTGTTGGATGCGATCGCTGGGTCATCTTGCCCTACGCTGAACCGTCTTGGCCCACTGTTGTGCTCTGCTGACGACCCGTATTGCGCATCTTTCTTGCGACCCCATGCTAGGAACTCCAGGACAGTAGCTGTATCGGTAGCCTCAGAAGGTACATCGGCATTGTTTTCTTGGAGAGGAGAAGTCGGGACATGGCCATGCGTCGGACTCGATGAAGCATCTCCGGGATGTGGAAATGGCGCTCCGCTCAAAGACGCATCATGTCGCCCCCCTAGCTTAGATTCTAGCTCGTCTACACGTTCCAGAATTGTGCGCATGAAGCCGTCGGATGCTGCTGGAACCCTTTGGGCTTGGTAAGCAGGAGGAGGTACTGATGGTATAGTTGAAGCATCATCTCTTGTACAAAAGCTTGCGTAACCCCTAGTTGTGACTTAGCATCATACATTGCAGAAATAATTCCAGTCAGTCCAGTTGGTTTATACAATGCCACTCAGGCACAACAATCTTCATGAATGGCCTCAGCCTGTTGGCTCAGCCGCAAGCCCAAGCGTCCCAGTCTACAACGTGAAAAGAGGTGCTAACCTTTTGATACAGGTACTGCAAGGCACATTCTTATCGCACTTTATCTTCCTCCTATAGCATTCTGTGCATGTCAATCGGGCCCTTTGCCCTTTGAGAGCGTTACTGTCGTCCATGGATATTGAGAACAGTTGATGTCAGGTTGGTAGTTGAGTTCGAGGGCGTCCCGAGACCTCAAAGACCCGATTGTTAGCATCATGTGGCAGTAGCATGCATATGCAGGACGTAGCAGCGACAGGTGGATCAACGAGTCGATATTTTGAGATGGAAAGGACGATGAGCAGGGAGCGGCCGAGATAGCGGACGGCACTGAGGGTTGCTCGGCAGTGGGGAGGGGGAGCAGCAACGGCTGCCGATTGGTGTCGCTCAACAGTGGGGGCAGCGACAGATATCGATTGGCTACACTCTATACAAGTATATCAACGCAAGTCCGCCAGCAGGCCAATCGACATCTGTCGCTCGTTAGCTTATCGGACGAGTCCCAGCCGAAGCCCCACCCGCCCCAAGTGTGCACATTGAATGCTTATCTTTACACTACCATCACTTGCCACCAACGGCCGCCGGACCCAACGGCCGCATCGACTACGGTGATTTTGAGTTTGATGACCTTCGTCCGAGGAGCATACATTTTGACGGACGTGACAAGACATAAGAGCAAGTATGGTATGTGATTGAAGTGAGGCTTGAAACTGCAGCTCATCAGCATTGAACAATTCGAACCATCAGCATTTCCTTATGGCGCCCACAAAATACATTGATCGTCCTGTGCCGACTATCTCGCTTCGTAATTTCGACTCACGGGTGGATGAGATCACCAAGGAGCTCGTTGATGCCGCAGAAAATCACGGCTTCTTTTGCATTGTAGATCATGGAATCAGCCGTGACTCTATTGATCGCATCTTTGATCAGTCATCACGCTTCTTCAATCAGTCGGACGACGTAAAGTCAAGGGTACCCTTCTCTCCTCAGCACAACGCTGGATGGGAAAAGAATGCGCAGGTAAGGCCATCAACAGGGGCCGTTGATCGCAAAGAGTCGTACCAGATGCAATTTGGCGAGGCCATGAATGGTGAGTTGTGGTTGCAATGCTTATATTTTGTTGCAAAACTGATGTACAAAAGGGCGCTGGCTGGATGAGGAGACATTGCCAGGCTTTCAAATGCAAGCCTTGGAGTTCATGCACCAAGCACAAGCTGTCAGCGAAAAGCTCATGAAGTGTTTTGCGAGAGGCCTAAAGTTTGAAGATGACTACTTTGTCAAAGCCCATGATGTCAGCCGGCCAGAGTGTCAGACTGTTTGTCGGCTCTTGCACTATTTCGAAACACCCAAAGTACAAGACTTGACTGGGCAGGTGTATCATAGGGCCGGTGCGCATGCTGACTGGGACTTCTTGACTTTGTTATTTCAGAAAGCTGGTCAGTCGGGCCTTGAGATATGCCCAGGAAGAGAAGTTTCGACTTCATTTGGGTATGGTGACGCATGGACAAAGGTCGAGCCTGATGTTGAGAAGAATGCAATTGGTAAGTTGGTTTTCAGCCTGAATATCAACAATGCGCTGAACTTCTATAGTATGCAATGTCGGTGACTTGCTCATGTCATGGTCTGATGACCGCTTCAAATCGACCTTTCATCGCGTCAAGGCGCCATGCGAGCCAGACGACTACTATGGCGAGCGATACAGTATTGCTTTCTTCAACCAGCCATGCAAAGACGCCAAGATCCAAGGTCCATTGAAGAGATATCCAATGGTGACGGGTGAGGAATTTACCAGGAATGCTATGAGTAGGAACTACCAAGCCATACAAGAGAAGCTGAAGAAGGAGAGAGAGTCGATACCCAAGGTGACAGAAGTGAAAGCAGCAACAACACAGGTAGGCGCAACGGCATGAGGTATCATAGTGTAGAATGCAGCATGGACAGACGTCACGCAGTCATTTTACGGAGCTACCTCCGGTTGCACTACTTGCCCTCACCCCTACCTTGCTTCGTGCGCTCACTCTCCTTACACGGTCTCGCTTTGCTATATTCAAGGTGTTTGCATCATCTGTATGATACAACCTCTGAGAATGACCACGGTTGTTGATTCTTGCGTACTATCATATCGTCTAAGTATTGTTCAAAAGTATGGCGACAAGCTAAGCTCGATGCACCACGTGATTGACATGCCAGGTCAATGCTGAGCAGACGGACGAAAATCCCTATGGAAGTAGCGCCTTAAATCCGAGCCGCCACATGATTCTGCTCCTATCCCTTGTTTCTAAAGACAGTATACAGCTGCTAGCAAGGATAACAAGTGAGGAGTAACTTCACGCAACTTGTCCGACTCTCAGTGACTTCACTAACGCCGGCTGTTAAATCCGGCCGAAAGTTTACGAAACTGCTTCAAGATGTCCATGAAGAGAGTGAATATAAAGAAGAGACGTAATGTGTGGTATTAAAATTCAGCGTTCAATCAGTCTCTCAAGACCTTACACTGTAAATCTGACGAAGAGCCTTCAGTTCATGAACAAAGTCAGTCTAATTACCTGAGCAAATCGCACGTCAATTGGTTTGATAAGTTCGGTTCTAGTTATGTGGTATTCTCGAAAGACTAACTTGTTACTAGATCATCTGGAGGCATCAACATGAAGATGGCCAGCCAACTCTCGCAAGCCTTTCCTCCCGCTCCAAAGTTCACAGAAGAAAATGTTCCCGACCTCACATCCAAAGTTTACATCGTCACCGGTGCCTCAGCAGGTGTGGGCAAAGAGCTCGCTCGTCTCTTGTACAGCCGTAGCGGCACAGTTTACGTTGCGGCACGTTCAGCAGAGAAAGCAAACACCGCGATATCTTGGATCAAGGAGCGCCACCCAAATGCAACTGGTCAGCTGCACTTCCTCAAGCTAGACCTCAACGATCTACGAGGAATCAAGTCTTCCGCCGAGGAGTTTCTGAGCAAGGAACAGAGACTGGATGTGCTTTTCAACAATGCGGGCGTCATGATGCCGCCTCAGGGCAGCAAGACGGAGCAAGGATACGAACTGCAAATCGGCACGAATTGTCTAGCGCCTTTCTTGTTCACAAAACTGCTTACCCCGCTAATCGTGCAAACTGCCAAATCAAGTCCACCCGGTAGTATCAGAGTGGCCTGGGTGTCTTCGAGCGCAGCCGAGGTCGTTGCGCCGCGGGGTGGAGTCGACATGGACAACCTCGATTACAAGAAGGACCAATCAGCAACGACAAAATACGCCATTAGCAAAGCAGGCAACGTGTTACATGCGATTGAATATCAGAGAAGACACAAGAACGACGGAGTGGTTAGCACTGTGAGTTTTCTTTTTGCATGCAATCTGGATTTGTTCTTGAGCTGATAGAATACAGGCACTTCACCCGGGACTCTTCAAATCTGAGTTGACGCGACATTCAGGGACTTTGTTGAGTTTGCTTTCCAGGCCCTTTCAGCATGAACCAGTATATGGTGCCTATACGGAGCTTTTCGTGGGACTGGCACCTGAAGCTGCAAATCTCAAGGAAGGAGATTGGGTCATACCCTGGGGGAGAATTGTAGAGGTCCGGAAGGACCTTGTGGCCGATGGTAAAGCAGGACCTTTTTGGGAGTGGAGCGAGAAGCAAGTAGAACCGTATGCATAGCTAGTAGAAGTAAATTACCACGGCTAGGTATACATGGGTAGTGTTCTTTTGGATTTTCTTTTGTGCATAATGTATGTTTCCATATTTTGCCCCTTTCTTACCGTAGTTTCATTTGCAACGTCTATGTCGCAAGCCACAACGACGCAGCATTGGCTAGTTTCTGCACATGTTGCCTAGTCGAGCTACTCAGCATCTGCGCACCGTTGGCAATTCCGCTGTGCAGCGCAGTGCAAGCATCTAATGCTATTACTGTCTTGACTATCTTACCATCGGAACACAGTCCTTCAGCGCACGTAGTGTCTTAGAGAAGGCGCAGTCTCGCCAGTGACTTCTATATGTATTGGAGTAACTAACAAGAAACATTCTATCACTAGCGAAGTACGGATGGTTGAAAGCCAACCGACGTACACGTTAGAATGCCGTAGCCGACATGGGGTGCGCGGATCACGTGACGTGTCATAATTGCTGAAAGGACGAAAGACTTATGGCAGGATTGAAAGCAATGAGGATATGAGACTTGATGGATTCCATTGCTATCTTTGTAGTTAAATCTTATACGTGCTTCTCTTACTCAGATTGAGGTTTAGTTTTTCCATATTGATTCTAGAATCAATCGTTCTTCTCTCGATTAGTCAACTATGACGACTCTTTTCTAATAGTCTCTCAAACAATCGCACAATATGCACCACAAATATCTCTTCCTAACCCATACTGAGACTAGCAAAGTATAGTATAATCCAGTCCCGTGTAATACATAGAACCACCCGCCGCAGCCGCAACGTCAAGCTTCTAGATAGATACAAGTAGCACACATTCATCGCAGATATCTAAACATTCCCCGATTGAACATCCTCGCAATAAGAACCGTCACACCTTAGGATGCGGGGCTATGTGTGCGGGGCATGTTCGGTTCAGCTCTGTTTTCCGGTTTGCTAATGAGATATAGACTGTCTTTTCAAAACAAAGTAGAAAACGCCTTTGTGTTTAGTAGAATCTATATACATTTTCATAGAGTCACAACACTGAGCTCCATTTGTTAGCGCTAATAGTACCATGTCATGGTACTAAGCCCTGCCAAGTGCTAATCTTGCACAGCTGACCACATGTTAAGGTACCACGTGACCTCCACGTGATCGCTACATAGCCACAAAATAAAGTTCATACCAGACCCTTACTTTAGTGTAGTACTTAAGTATGCTAATAGGGCACGGAACCGGAAACGGGGGCAACTGAACAGGCTCCCCTGTTGTTCGACTGAGGCAGATCGCCAAGGTATCGATTACCGGAATAATTCTAGAGCAGATGGTGTATGGGCCGTTCCGCTCTTAGCTTCAACCAAAAAGGTCTTTACTATTCTCGATTTCCTGGTGAGATGGGACCTATCACAGCCGCGATCAAAATCTTAAGGCATATAAACCGTCTAATCCATCGCCTATTACAAAATCATGTGAATATTTAATATGTCAGTAAGGGTCTAGAACCAGTCTTCGTCGCTTAATGGCCCCATACTCACGTCTTCAGCCTCATGCCACAGTACAGCCCCACGCCACCAAAAGTTCTAGACCAATAGGTATGCCCCACCAACCTCAGCTCACGCACGTCGCTATCTATCGCTTCCACCAGCTTATCTAACGCAGAAAAACTACGTAGCCAATTCAAGCTGTAATCGCCGGTAACGGGGGCCGAAAGTGCGGGGCTGAATAATTCCCTCTGTCCAAATGTATTGAATACATCTTGCTAACATTGTGGCGCCCAGTAACACTCAGACATGTTGCTCCATGCATATACCAAGACTTCAAGTAGCCTGCTGAGCTTCTGCATCAGCTCACTTCTCAGTAACTCTGCCGATGCGCCTGTTCAGCCTTGCACCCTGTATATTATGCAGTGCCACCGCGTGTATCCATACGATTTGCGATTCTATTAGGCAGCTAAGACACATTTTCAGGTTTCTCCGTGCGGTAGGCAATTCCTGTAGAGTAGGCGACGAATTAGACTTGATATATTTTCAGCCCCCATCTGCCCTAATGCAATGCGGGACGGGCATAACCTAATCTAAGGTCCGCGGCATGAGCTTACCACACCTTAGAGTAGGTTGCTGTAGCTTATCGTGCTTGGAAGCCAAGGCCTGGAAGACAGCTGAACAGAAGGCAGAAATCTAGCTCTCATATCAATATCGATGTTAAGCCATTTCCCCTTCTGAGTTCTTCATTTGAGCCTATGCGTAGAGACGAATCTTCTCCACCTCAAATTCCCAATGGCGTACCAACACCTGCATAAGAATCAGCCTAACGTTGATATTGAGCCAGTAAATGAGGGCTGCGATTCACCCTCACCAACTCAACAACGGTATGGGCAAGACGATCGCAACTTTGAATACGATCATGCCAGCCCAGTATCAACCGTAGGAACACGAAATACTAAACATGTAGCGCACTGGAGTACCTCTACAGATGTCACCGCCGTCACCTCGGAAACATCCAGCCAGAGGTCTGGGGGCAAACCCAAGTCTTCTCATGCTCGTACCTGGGCATTTGAGATGATGGCTATCTTCGTCGCTCTCGGAGCTGTTGCTGCCATTATCGGGGTCGTTTTCAAGTACAACGGGCGTGCTTTACCGGACTGGCCTCACGACATTACTCTGAACGCGCTCATCGCTTTGATGGCTACATGTGCCAACGCTACCATGTCCGTTTGCCTTTCGAGTGGAATATCACAAGCAAAATGGATCCGCTTCAAGCAAAAGCCGACTCCGCTATCCGACATTGAGGTTTTTGACGAAGCCAGTCGTGGTTCCTGGGGATCGCTTAAGTTACTCGTGACGGGTAGAGGAGGGTAAGTTGATCTGCTTCAACCATTAGCTTCTTATGACTGACACTTTTGTTACTCAGATTGCTTGGGTCTTTCGGTGCCATCGTCGCTATCGTTGGGCTGGCCCTTGGGCCCTTCGCACAGCAGATAGCAACGTATAAGATGCGAACCGTCGAAAGCGACGTCGGTGCTATCATCCCTAGAGCCGTCAACTACACCGGTGCGCTGACGGGTAACAGCAGTAGTGAGTATCTCCAGAAAACACCATCAGCCAGTCTACTAACATTTCACAGCTGGTTTTGTACCAATACTTCCCCTAAAAGCCGCAGTCTACAACGGCCTGTTTGCAGAGAACAATCGACCTGCAGCGTCTCTAAAGTTTCAATGCTCAAGTGGTAACTGCGCATGGAAGCCCTTCGAGTCACTTGCTGTTTGCCACGAATGTACCGATATCACACCCCTCATGACGCGATACTGTCCACCAGAGATAACTGACTCAGCCAACGTATCTTCATGCGGCTGGCAAGTACCTCAAGGAGCGCTGCTCAACACCAGCTCCGATGTGTTCAGTATGACTTCGTTCATCCCATCCGCATATGGCGACATGCCTCACTCCACCTTCATCAAGCTCATTTTCATGGGCACAGAGCACCAGGACACCCCCCGAGTTCTCAACCCCTGGGCTACACAGTGCACACTACAAGCTTGCGTCAACACGATATCAGCGTCAGTAGTAAACGGTACGCATCAAGAAAACATCACGCACTCGGTGATGAATCACACGGTCCTCGACATGAGCTCGCCAGACCCAGACGCCGACTACGGCGTTTACATTCAAGGTGACTCCAAGGACTCTGCGTATCTCGTTGGCATGGGTGCCCTCCTGAGTATCCGCGGCTGGTTCGGCGCAATCTTCACAAACGGCTCTGCGACCCGGACCACCAGCGACTTCACCCGCAGCATCACTGACCCTGATCGTGCTGTTGTCGTTAATCTCACGGTCGGTATCGCTTCGGGAGAGACGTTCTTCGACACGGATATCTTGACTGCGTTTTACTGGAACTACTACGAGTACACTAATGGACTCGATATGCTCATGAGCGATCTGGCTATATCCATGACTACGGCATTCCGCAGTTTCATGGGTGCTGTACCTACAGCCGGGAAGTCCATGACAGTCGAGTCGTATGTGCATGTTCGGTGGGGTTTTGCGGTACTGCCCATTACTGCTGTTCTCGCGACGCTCGTCTTCTTGATAACTTCCATGAGCCTGACCCATACGTCTGACACACAGGCTTGGAAGACGAGTGCGCTGGTGTCACTGTTCCATGGTTTGGATCACCAGACAAAAGAGAGGTTTAGTGATAAGGAAAGCTTGAGCGCGAAAAGGAAACAGGCAAAGGCTGTGAAGGTGCAGTTGCAGACCGACGATCGTAACGAGACCTTGTTGCGGGCTGAGAAGGTGCAGTGCTAGTTTTATAGAGGGTTTTTACTGTTCGATATCTTTGGAATAAGTCTGTCCACGATTGTATTGGCTCTACAATCTAAACACTACTTTCGCTCTCAATATCTTTGCTCTTTCTTCCCTCGCTGCTAACATCACTCTCCGTGTCACTGAGCAAGCCATCCCAAGCTTCATCTTGCACACTGTCTGCCTCATCCTCCTTCCCAGCACCCTGCTCAACTTTGACATTGACGAACAAGATCCATAGCCCAATGTCGTAGATTATTCTACACGTACCCGATGCCAAGAAAGCTACCCAGAAGTTATCGCTGCCAGCGAGGAGACCAGTAATTGACGGACCCACGCTCATAGCCAAGGTACGCACCATACTTGTGATACCCATGGCACCAGTGCGCTCCTCGGGCTTGACAACTGCAGCAATGAAAGCTGTACGTGGTGCCTGATCCATACTGTTGAGAGCGGCGCGGAAAAGCATCAGCCCGATTGTCCATGCAGGCTTTGAGGGCACAGGGATGAAAACAATGGATAACGACGAAGGGAGATGAGTAAAGACCATGGTGTTGATGAGTCCGATGCGTTTAGCCAGTGGTCCAGCGAAAACAGCGCCGACTGCGCAAAGGAATTGCGAGGCCGATGTGATGTCTCCGAGTGTAGCTTTGGAGACGCTAAATTTGCGGTCGACGTAGTAGTTCATGAGCGAATAGGGTGTCATTCCATCCGACAAACTGTCGACAGCAAGGAGGATCCAGAGCTTGTACAGGATTGATCGTGTCGTTTTGGAGATTTGACTGAAATAGCTCTTCTTCTTAGGCGATTGTGTAACTCTGAGATTTTCCTGTCTCCTCGAAGGTTCGCCGTTCTGCTCGAATCCATCTGTTGTACTTGGCGTCATTGGTTCCAGGAGCATTTCTCCTTCTTCTCCATCACCACTGGCTCTCCTTCGCTCTTTCATCTCGGCAAGTTTCTCGCCGGCAGCTTCGCATCTGCTGCTCAATCCTAGACACAGTATACTGCCGAGTGCGCCAAAGGCTGCGTATCCCCAGAACAAAGCATGGTATGCTTTGGTAGCGTTACCGCTGCTCTTCTCAAAAGCGTTCACCATTCGCCCTGCAACCTCGGCTCCTATAGCACCAGCCATTGTGGTTGCCGTCACGTACCACGACAAAACGTCACTTCTTGTCTTCTCGTCCGTCAATCCACTCAGTATACTCTCCTCGACTGCCCTAAAAGGCCCACAGTCGGCTCCCGTAACGGAGATGATGCCAAAGACTGCCGCAATCAAGAGGATCCAGAAGTTCTCAGAAAGAGCGAACGTGACACCTGAGCAAGCCATCATCACGCTGCCCATAAACAAGATTCTTCTTCTTCCTATTTTATCCGCTACCAAGGTAAGTAGCAAAGAGAGCATAACATCTCCGAGTAACGTCAAGGTCATGAAAGCCCCGATTCTCGAATCCTGAAAATTGAGGGAGGCGAAGAATAAGGCTAGGACAAGACTAGGAATGCCAGCAGCAAACATGCGCAAGGAGCGCAGTATAATGATAATGTAAGCATCCCTTCCCGTTGCATTGAGTGATTCGACACCGAGGAAGCTTGCAATTCGTGATACGAAAATGGGAGCCATGGTGGCGATGTACGACGGATGGTGCCGGAGTAGAAAGCCCTGAGTCAACTCACTCGTGGATGATGGAATATGCAGTTCCAACAGCCACGAAATGGTGAATCAAGAGAAGATAGATAAGAAAAAAGAAAAAGAGAAAGAGGAAGAGTTGCAGTCTACAAAAGACAGGTGATTGCCTGCATCGTTAGTGGGGACGTTAAACCCGTCGCGGGTTTAAGCGTAGTAGTCGCAATAGTCCCCATCTATACAAGTGACTCATTGGCGCGTTGCATGGGAGGCCTAGCCCACAGCTTCTAGATTCCGGTGGAGGAAGAAGACACCCGGCAGTCTTGCCGATGTTCGCTGCGCGGCCGAGATGTTGCAAGTGCAGGAAGGACTCTTTCCCCCACTTTGGAAAACGTGGGGGTGGGGTACGTCATGGTTCGCACGTGATTGGCACCTTCTCTCACCTATATGCATTGACGTTTCTCACTACACACCTAGTTTTGCAGCAACTGGCTTTTGCATTGAATATCATACTTCTTTCGATTCACTCGTATCATGCGTCGGCTATCAACTATGATTAAACCGGATTTACTGCGACGGGTAAACCGATGCGACTTTCAGATGGCACGCGACCAGTCTGAGAAAACCCGCCCATACTTCAACAATGCTCCAGACTATCTCTCGCCTATGACAGATTCATGGTAAAGGTCATTTAATGTGAACGTATCACACTTTGACCACAACTACTTCCTTTTACTTTATCATTCCTATAGAGATGTGCGGGATCAAATACTTTGCTCTTGACCGATATCGCTGTCAACACTTCTAACTTCTGACACCACAACCGAAGAAGTCAACCGAATAAGGTGTCTCTCCTCGGTCCCCACTACTAACCCATTGTTCAAGATGGCAACGAAGGATGGTACATTCGAGGATAACTTTGCTCGGCGGATGCCTTTGGAAATCAAGCACATGGTCTTCAAATGGACAGTAAGCGGCAACGGCGACAAAGGCGGCATCACGGAAATCGAGGTCGAACTTGCGCATGACAACAAACAGTCGCTCAAGTCACCAGCTCTAGACCTTCTGGCAACACTAGCGCGGTGGTATCCAGCAGATGTCCACAAGGAAGCAGTGGGGTATCTTACCTCACCATTATTTCGGTGGGTGTTCATCAGCGACAAGGAGCCGCATCACTCTCTCCTCGCTGTCTTCCGCAAACAAATTTCAACCCGTATTCGAAAGCGCATCAAGCATGTCTACTTGCGAAAACTACGGGTATCAAGTCTTATCCACAAAGCAGAGTTTCCCATAACGAATGGAGATTTGGAGTCGTTGGAACTTCCTCAAGTCTCAGATTACTCTGATTATCTCCGACGTATCGACAAGGATGGAACACGCAATCTATCCGATGTCCGTCTAGCGGTCCTCGAAGAAATCTTGGAAGGCATGCTCTTATTGCCGCGCGCACTACCATCCATCACAAAATTCGATGTCGGTCTTGACATCTTTGATTGCCTACTCGAAGTCCAACACTTTGAGCAAAGCCTTTCCTCGCTGATCGACGAACTACAAGCTGATCCACAGGATCTGTCTTTATACGCCGCATATTCTATCGCCATTTGGCCATTCAAGAGGCTGAGAGGAGTATCTAACATCAACATACAAGTTGTCTGGGACAATCACTTTGGGCAGGAAGCCGACTTAGGCGCAACAGACGAAGAAAAGGAAAAGCTTCAGGATATTTTTGTCACGTTCATGCGCAGGCAGATTCCTGCAAAGTCCATCACGAGCTATGTTCAGAAGTAGATATTCATGACTTGGTATAGTGGATAGTGAGTACTCGACTGTGAAAGGAGTGGACAGACACGGATTGGAGGAGCTTGATTTCAGGTATATATGCCGTGCGACCGGCTTCTCTAATTAGGCTCGACTGAACATATAAACTTTGATTCCAAAATAAACCTACCCAACTTCGTTCCATGATCATGGCTTTGGCACAATTCTTCTCCTCTCGTCGTTTATGACCGCCGAGATGAAATGACTCGCCTGCCCCATCTTTGAACAACTAGCCGACTATCCTCAAGGAACTTTGTTGTCTCATACTGAAGCTTCGCCAAGCACACTCTGGTTAGAAGATTCAAGGTTTTCAGGAGCAGGATCTAGGTTGCACGATGAGTAAAGAGAAAAAGAGACGATCGGGAAATTGTAATTTTGATTCGCAGAAATGACAGAAAGCACTACATCTGCCCTATTGCAATTTCCTGCCGAAGCTAGGAGATCCGATTCACCAATGCATAATCGAATTCGGTTGGATGGCTTTGAAAAAGCCAGCACCTTGGATGATCATGGATACATGTCGCTCCAGTTCCCAACCACCAGATTCATGGTATCATTCATCGCAACCGCGTCATGAGGCTGATCTTACGAGATGCCGTTCGATTTCGTAAGCGTAGGAGACACCGACCCTAGTCAGATATCTATATCAGTTTTCATCTGTGTTGATGATCATGTTTGATACTCACCAATCGCCGAGGTGTTGACAGTACTATTCAACTACTTTCTGCTCAATTCCAATTTCTAAGTTCATGTCAGAAGAGACAGCCTCTATTTCGCAGCGCAGTTTATCTTCCATGGTTTGCTTGATAATTGTGTCGACTTTCGGCTTGATAATGATGCAGAAGACCACTTTCTTCAAACCAGGGAGGTACTTTGGCAATTTCAGTATGGAAAAAAGCCGGGGGATGTCTTTCGATAGGGATTCTTGACTCTCTTGTAAAGAAACCTCGAATCGGAGGGAAGTAATCTGGCGACGCTGACCAGTCTTGAAGCGGGAGAAACATTCCCTCATTGGATAGTGCAACGGAATGGAGAACACACTTTGTTGCATCGGGATATTAACTGCTTCTGCGTAGATTTGACGGCATACTCGTAAGAGAGCGACTCTGCTAGGATCCCCCTGCGAATGCATGCGATAACCGTCGCGTTTTGCCTCATACGCTCTTCCGCCGAGCGCAAACTCCCATATCATATTGCGGACCTGTATAGTCAGTATCCGTTGCATATCTGGATGGCGAGTAGTTGCTTACCTCAGCCGGGAGACGAAGTAGAGGCGATTTCCGGTTGGCTTCAACACTGATGGATATTAGTTGTCTCCTGCAAAGTCCAGTCATGGTGTACTTACATGTCCTTCTCTCCGCCCTTGGGTGTAACGTTGAGCATGCCATTCCTGAAGGTGTGGTATCCGCGTGCAGGCCTCTTCACAACCTCGTCTTTGCTCTGCTTATCAGTGGAAGTCTTCTTCGCTTTCTGAGCCTTGTCGTTGGTAGCAGGCTTTTGGGGCGCCATGATGATGTCGAGAGTGACTGGTTGACGAGCAGGGTTGTGTTCAAGATATAAGCAGAGGGTAGAAAGTGGAAGAGTTAAGTGAGACTGTTCGCGGTGAGTGAAAGCAGGACAAGACCCTCATAGGAAATGTTATCACGCCAACACAGTACGGTGAGCGGGGAGCAAACACAGTGATAGTGAGTGTGAAGGAGAGAGCGTATCTTTTGGCCATAGGGCATTAATTAATAACTACTTGATCACATCTCATTGGAACGGCAAGGTAATAGAAGGCAGTCACAACGTCTATGCTAGTTAGAACTATCATAACAGAAGCCTACGCCTTCACTGCAGCCATAACTTCACCTACACCCGCAACTCGCATCAATATTACCGGAGGGGAGCGAGCACCTAATCTTCATGTCAGTACATTATTGCGCATGACATACTCAGCAGTGAAGGCGATGAGGAAGTGCTCAGAGAGAAGATTGTAAACTCGCCATTGACGGCGCCAGACGAGTCGAGAGTGAAGGACTGCTTGCAGTCCTTCACTCTCGTCTCAAGCCCGGCACCATCTCCGCCTAAGGATGACGATAACGAAGTTTCATCATTGCACATGTGGTAAAGGAAAAGGGAGTACTCACATATGGACTTCAGTGTGTGGACTACAAACTTGTTTGCGCAAGAGCATTGAAGCAATGCTATTGAAAGCGGACAGCCGCGATGGAGGGTGGGCCAAGACAAGCAACCATAACTGCAAGAGTTGTCTGGTTCAATAGTCTAGATCCAGGGTGTCGTCCTTTTGCGCATCCGGCCCATTCGCCTGGTGCCATGGGTCCCACTCATCACTCTCGTCGTCACTGTAATCACTGCCTGGACCATTGCGACCACTCCTTCGTCTCGGCAGGCCCTTTTGCAGCCTAACTTCTTTTCTCCTTTTCGCATATCTGTCTCTCTTCCTCTTAGCCTTGGCTTTGCTCTTCGCACTGGTTGTAGCCCATTGTTGCTTGTTTGCTTGCCCTGGCTCCTTTGACTGAGCCTGCTGCGAATCGTCTACCACATGCGAAGAACTCTCTTGCGCTGGGCTCGCAACATCGGGAGACGGCTTTTCGGAAGTAGATTTACAGTCAGAAGATTCGCCGTTTTCTTTCTGTAATCGCCGTTTGCGAAGGATGGCTTGGATTTCCGAGTGTCGGAACATGGCAATTTGCTCGTCAGTCAAGGTCCGCTTGGTGCCGTCAGGATAGTAGCCGAGCCCATCGTCCTCTTCGTCATAATATTCTTCAGCCGTCTCTGCCTCGTGATGTACACCGTAGAGAATATGTTCTGGCGTTGACGCGTGGGGGAAATGCTGCGCGTGGAAAGCGAGGAGATCATCCTACCGTTCTTAGTACCTGTCTAGGGGTTCGAAAACATTGATTCAACTTACGACCGTGACCGTTGGAATTTGCAGCGCCATAACTTTTTATTATCTTCCCAGAGAGTTGGGTCGAACAGCGACGCGCTCAAAGGCGCGGAATTTCACGTTGGCCGAGACATGAGTGAAAGAAGAAGAGGAATCAGTCCCCGAGCTCAAAAAGACTACCGACGATCATTCGCGTGAGCACGAGGTCTTGGCTTCACCGCGGCATGACGTGTGTGCTGCCCACGCCAACCGCCGCGCTCACAAACAACCCTCCAGCAACACCCTAATGCACCCCGCTTAAGCCACCATGAAATCCGGATCTCTCTTCACGTACCCTCTTGCTACCATCTCTCTAATATTCGCTTGCTCTGCGGAGTCTCGCCCGTTCGACAGCATCGTCAACTCGCTCCACATCCTGACCGAGCAATCACCGCTTCGCGACTACATCATGGGCAAACCAGAGGGGCAGGTCTCAACTGGCGTCATCATATCCGATGTCATCGGAAACACACAGGAGATTGCCATCTTCAGCGGCCTGACAAGGAACATCGACGCTGTAGCCGGACGGTTAGACAACGCAGCGCAGAACGCCACTGTACTCGCTCCCCACAACAGCGTCATGCGCGACTTGAAGAGGAAACCATGGGAAGACCCAGACGACTACAACAAACTGGGCGCCGAAGCCTACCAGGGCGCTAGCGGAGAAGACCGCGCAAAGAGCAACCTCGAGCGCTTCGTCCAGCGACACATTGTACCGGAAAGTCCGTGGGAAGAGGGCAAGAAGATCAAGACACTTGCCGGCAACGAGATCTGGTGGGAGTCCAAGGACGGCCAAAAGAAGGTAAGCATGCCCGTCAGTACAGTAGTCTGCATTGCATTCCGAGTTGCCCCACCGGACCGCAGGGCGGCCATTCGCCTCTCGGCCCAACTGCCCACGAACATATTCAATGCAATTTCCAAAATTTCCATCAAAACAACCAAAATAATTGGTGAGATGGCCGAGTTGGTTATGGCGCCAGGTTAAGGTCTTCTTAACATCATATTCCTGGTCACGAAAGTGGCGTGGGTTCGAGTCCCACTCTCATCAGCATTCGTCTGGCTTCAGTCAGATACCCCAGGTTCTTTTTTTTCTCTTGAGTTGTTTCTCTTGAGTTGTTTCTCTTTTGGCGACATCGAGGAGACATTTGTACTACTTTTTCTTCGTGGTGTTGCCGAAGATTTTCTTTCCAATGCTTTTTTTTCCTTTTGCCAAGCACTACCAGATTCTGAGCTAATCGAATCTTGCAGATCCAACCCGCCAACGTCGAAATCAAGAGTATCGCCGACAAGGTCGCCAACGGTGAAGTCTGGGTGCTTGGAGGATCTCTCGCTTAGACATTTTGTTCTATGAATCAAGGCTGGCCCGTGATGATAGGCAGAAGGAGGCCCTTTTTTTTCTTTCCTTTGATTGCAATGTTGGTATAGATCAAGTGTACAACTCAAGAGGATTTATCATGAACACCAGAATATTCACCTACGTTGGCTCACTTTCCAAACATACTGCAATTCTTCCTCTCATCTTCTAAATACTCATTTCAGAATATGTACTTTAAGCTATCACTTCAGAATGTATACGAAGAATCATCGCTATTATGTGTTTATCTTACAATCACCCAGTCTTACTTGACTGAGTAGGTTCGACCTCCTGTACTGAACTCATGGGCATCATCTACAGCATTGGCGTCTCCTCCCTCTCTCCAATGACGTTGAGGAACGCAGTGTGAACATGCTCTGTCAGATCACTGGCCTGCAGCGATCTGCCCTTCTCCTTGAAGGCCAACTTGGAGCATTCTCTCGTAATACAAGAGCCTCCATATGCTGCAAGAGCCAACGTCTCGCTCCTTGACATCTCAGTCCCGATGTCCCACAGCTTGTCGTGGTATGCCTTCCTGTAGGCTAGTAGAGTCGCCAAACTACCCGTCAGAGTATCGCCCTGACCGCCCGAGCGCTTCAAGCCACCCTCGCCCTCAGAGACCAGGGTATGTGAACCATTGGAAATGTAGTCCTTGGCACCCTTCTGGATGATCGTAACACCACCAAAAGCCTTTGATAGCTTGGAGCAAAGTTCTGAAGGATCGCCCTCATCAACGTTGACGCCCTTTGCCTTGGCCAATCTTCCAAATTCCACAACGTTGGGCGTGAGGATGCACTCCTTGCAGCCTTCAACGAGTTCAGGCCTCGTCTGTGCAAGGTACAGACCATCTGCATCCAGTACAAAAGGGATGCCCTGCTTCCTAGCCTCTTCAATCACCTTTGCGCATGTGTCTTGCATGAGTTTGTCGCGACCGAGGCCAGGACCAATTACGACAACGTGGAGCCGCGATAGCATTCCAACAACTTCTGCGCTTACACTCTCGGCGCTCTCGGATTGCGCAAGGTTCTTGGACTGTCGCATGTACGGGTGTACCATAAGGTTAGGGGAGTAGGTCTTGATGACGGCGCCTGCTCCCGGCTCGCATATGACGTGAGACTGAAGTAGTGTCAGCAGATCTCCTTGCATGATGGTTTCTGGGAGATAGCACCATATCACAGCCTAGTTTTGCAGAGGCCATGGCGGAGAAGTAGGGTGCGCCAGTGTAATCTTCACTGCCACCAATGACTGCCACACGACCCAATTGACCTGTAAAAATGAATTAGACATGCATTCTAGAACCCAGAGCGGTCTCCATGCCCTTGTGGAAGCTCTCGAGCATAGGCGGTACCATATTGTACACCTTCTTAAGAAGGTCTTTCCTTGATGCGCCGGCCATTTTGGTATACTTTTGAATAACTATTAAATTTGAATATCGAGCAGGAGGACCACAAGAACAGCTGTGAAGATTTGATTGTAGGAACGATGTTGTACGCTTTCCGCATGGTTTTGTTATGGAGCTCAACGCATAGGGACGTCATAATGATGGTGGGGCATTGACGCGACGCGCCAAATCTAGCAACTACGCAAACGCATAGCAGAGAGGAACAGCGGGGACAGCATAGCCGGCCGCGTACCCGAATAAGCATACGGAGGAACTTGCAAACTAGGGCTGGAAAGTATTGGTATTTATTGTTCAATTTGCAAAGACATGTTTGTACTCCACTAGCTATCATTCGGCAAGGAGCCGCCCAAGAAGGTAAATATGGGCAGCAGAAATTAGCTCGTATATCTCTCATCGAGCATAAACAGCAATGCCCGCTCAGCACTTTAGGCATAAATATTAGAAATGGCAGGGTCATTCAAACCCCGTGAAAGCTAGTGTACGCCAGAGAGAATCCTCAATATGCGGGCGTTCTAGACTCGCTCAACAAAGCCAACAAAGCCGCAATCGCTCTGAAGCATAGGGTGCAGTCCTGCGAAGAGGGCTGATAGTAGCAGAAATAGAAGAAGGAACATCTACATTCCCCTAGTTGACCACGCAGACTGAGGATGATTTAGGCAGTGACAGCGTCTGTAGTCCCGGCAACCCCGTCGACCTTGTTTTCAGCAGGGGTTTTGTCAGTAGCCTCGTCGCTGGTCTTCGCTTCAACCTGAGGCGCAGATACCTCCTTGCTATCTTCTTTGTCTGCTTCTGCCATAACAACGTCGCCTTCCGCATCAGTTGGCTTCGAGGTAGTCTCTGGAGCGGCATCATCCTTTTTCGCTGCCGTCTCCTCGTTGCTCTTTTCCGCAGTCTTTTCTGCAGATTCGGACTTCTCGCGTTCTTCGTTCTTGACACCGTTCGCACCAGCCGGCTCCGTGTCGGATGCTAGTACGCTATTCCATTTGGTAAGAAGTTCAGTCGAACGCTTCTTGAAAGCAAATTCTTCCTCCATTGGAATAGATTCAAGCTTGATAATAGCCCGAAGGACCTTGTGGACCTTGGTCTTCTTAATCACTTCAGCCTCAAGATCTGCATGAGCTTCAAGCTGCTTCAGATACTCGGACATGCTTGTCATATCTTCGTCTTTGGGTGCCTGGTCGCGGGACAAAAAGCCCTTTTGGAGACGGTGTCGGAGGTAGAGAACTTGCTTCTCGCGCTTCTGTAACCACTCTTCTTCAGTCATAGCTGGCTCCTCGGGTGCTGCAGGCTCAGCCTCCTCGCTGGCTTTCTTCTTCGACTTGGGCTCCTTCTTCGTCTTTGCAGCAGATGGCTCCTTTGGTGTCTTTGTCGTCAGCTTGAGCTTGGTCTTGAGAGTCTTTGCGAACTGTCGCCATGTCAGTAGTTGCAAATCGATTCATGGATGTGATACATACCTTTCCGCTCTCGCCATCGCTCTCGCCGTCATTCTTGCGCTTCTTTGCGGTCTTGGTCTTCTTAGCTGAAGCAGCAGCATCACCAGTGTCTTCCGCATCAGCGGTTTCTGATGTTGCGGCTGCTGTGCTCTTGCGCCTAGAGGCCTTCTCGGCCTTCTCCTTCTTCTGCTGCTCCTTCTGCTCCTTCTGTTCAAGGTCTTCTTGCATCGCAGATTCGTGGGCAGAGAGCATATCTTTGAAATATGCCAGATCGTGGCCCTCGGCAGCAATCTGATATGCCTCCCAGAGAGCTTTGTTCCTCTTCCCCTGGTTGCCAGTCTCCACATCCTTCTTCACTTCCTCGAGATCGAATGGCAACAGATCAGTGTTGACTTGCCACGCACTACCGACCTTGGTCAGCAACCTATTATGCAGAAGAGTAGATCGTTGTTTACTCACAATTCGTTTGTACCCAGAAACATGATAGGATACCGCCTATCTTTAGCGTTTTTGCCACCTTCAAGAAAGTCTTCTCGGTATGTGCCGTCAATACGCCTAGCACTGACAGGACGCTTGCTGAGAAGTGACTCGGGGAGCATTTCCTCGTCACATACAATGACTGGCCATGGCTGGTATCCACGCATAGCAACCATGTGCATGTCTCCCGGCGACACATTCAGGCGAAGCTCAGGTGCCTTCTTTGCCTTCTTAGCTGGTGTTTTCTTCTTGTGTTCGGGAATGCCAGCGCCTGACTTGCGGGCCTTTTTGGGAGCCGGGGTACCATTGGTCGCTGGCGCGTCAGAGGCAGGTGCGGCATCTATGAGAATATGTCAGTACATGAGCGTAAAGAGTAAGACCTGTCTGTGCTGCCTCCAGTTGGTTGGGCTGTCTACCACTCACCTGCATCATCGCTTGCAGCGACAGGCGCTGCCTGCGCGTCAGTGGTGACATCATCCTTGCTAGCAACATCTTCTTGGGTGTCTTTGTTTTCAGGCACTGGTAGACAATCATGTCAGCATCCTCTTCGCCGATTTACAAAGTAAGGTCTCTTACCTTCAGCAACGCCAGAGGTAGCTACAACGCCGTCATCAGTCGGCTTTGCCTCTGCGACGGCAGGCTGAGCAACACCATCCGTGGAGCGCGTCGCCTCCTCGGTATTGTTCGTGGCGTCCACAGGAACGGGTGATTTCGCCTCCTCCGCCATTGTGCGAGTCACGCTCACGTTTGTGTGATGTCGAGTCGACGCGTAAGTGATGCGCAGGGTCGCGATTTAGGAAGTTGATAGGATGAATGCGACAGCAAGACCGCGTGGTTGATGGCTGACAGCGCGGATTGATGATGCGCGGTGGGTGAGGTGGCTGGGTTGTTTTGTGGTGATGTGGGGAGGGCGAGAGAGAAGAGATCGGAGACGCAACTCTTCAACTTTCCAGCGACGCCAGGCGCAGCACGTGACGTTGGTCGGTCTGCCCGCAACGGGCGTGCTACTGATCGGGAAAAATTCCGAGGTGATTCACTGCCACCTCTGGATGTACCGACCACCTTCTGGCAATGTTGCAGCAAGCGTGTGGAGTGTTTGCCGTGTTGTGGGTGTTGGCTACTGCTGCTATCGCCGCCTTCCAAGGTTTGGCGGGATGCGATGACTTAGGTCCGTGCTGGAGTACGAAGCTGCTACGCCTTTTCAGCCAGCCAACACACAGTCACGAACTCAACGCAAGGGGCTTGCAGATGGACCCTATGCGAAGAGTCTCGTCTACTGACACAGCTCTTTTGGCGGTTTCCTTTTACTCTTGCTGAGGCGTAATGGACGGTCGATTGGCTTCATATGGCATGCACATGCGACTTGTCGTAAGAAGCCTCCAGGTGAACGCGCACGTTGTTGGGAGAACCGATACTCTTCTAGATTATTCTCCCTAGCTCTTTCTCATATTGCACGGTCTATACGCTTGTCGTTAGTGAATCATGATGTTCTGTCTGAGGTTGGTCATCGTGGAACGGTCAGAATGATTGCAACACATAGGAACGCTGAGCTGCGGGGTCTCGGACTTGCTCTTGGTAGGCTTGTCAGGGATGATTTGCATTTCGACTACACTTCAGCCTTCGTCAGCTCGAACACATGTCTATCCTGGGGGATGAGCAGTCACTCACTGTATTCGTTTCTCGCTCCTGGGGTGATTTCTGTATGTCTGTTTGCTATAAGGACATGTTTCCGCCTACTTACCCATATCGACGCCCGTACGTCAAGTACACGGGCTTTTACCATACACTGAAGAGACTGATGAAACACAGGGTTGCGAGAGGAAATACCCAAACCCTCGCACAAATCTGTACCAAGACCAACTGCAGCTAGTCATCGGCCACAGGAATGAGTCGTGATGGCGCGATTCCAGTTTTCAACGATCCATCAATATTTGATTCTCAGCTCTCCGCGACTTGTAGGCGTCCATCAAGCCTGCCGTTTTCCAAGCAATGCCTACATGATCCGTATGCTGAGTGATTCACTTCCGCATAGCTTACGATAGGACAATAACTTGTGTCAGGAAGGGTGGTGTTATATGCTCTCGTTACCTCATTACCATCTTCAGACTTGCCTGACTCCATCTCTTCCAAGGGTCTTGTTTCCGTCATGCTGGAAGTGACGATATTAAGGAATCGGCCAACGGCGTCACAAACAGGGAGTATTACCAGCCGCTAATCCTTTGATGGGTTCTAGAGAGTACAATCTGAGTATTATAGGCTTCTTGGAGCCAATTCGTCTTATAGAGGAGCATATGTCAAGGTGGGTTACTGCGGATATACTGGAATATGTAATCAGTATCCGACAAAGACGTTTCACTCAGTTAGAGCATTCGAGCTTAGTCGTGAGCCGATAGTTGTGTAGAGACCTCGTGATCCGAACAGATTAGCTGTATGAGCTGTACTGTGAACAGGACACCCATCTTCAGATCGAAACTTGAGTCGGATTGTTTCTGTACCTCTGTATAGACAGATCTGGGCTGGACAACCGCCCCAGATTATCGCGATCCGGGGGGCTGGGCTTTTCCGTTCCCGTGTTGGCTATCGATAAGCCAGTAGTCATCTTTCTGGGTGCAGCACATGACTGAGGCACTTGGGCTTGCCTTAGGCTTCCGCTTTCAATCAGTCGGTCCGCAACGATCTGTCGTCATGCTAGCTATTTAAACAGCCGGACTTCCTGTCGAGTGCACTGGTATGTTGAAATGGGCGACCGCAAGCTACTCGTACGGATGCGAAATACACCTTGGCCACCAGATTTCATAGCCAAGCTATGGCGCGGTGAGATGAGTGTTGTTGCGCTCCCCGGCTGTTGTATGGCTCATAAAGCATGTCCAGAGCTGTTGCTGCTTCCTATCCCGGCGGCTAACAACGACTTGGAGAGCCACCGTAAATATTTGTGCACCCTAGAAGCTCAGAATTTTCAGCTGCGCGCACTTGTAGTGCATGTATCTAGACACGCATTTCACACAATTGCCGACCGTCGGGGCGATTTATAGGAGCGATCGAGCGAGGGGTAGCGGTGCGTCGGGGGAGCCATCGTGCTGTCCTGGTATCGGGATCAATCTGACGCCAGCACAGGGGCTAGCCACTTGGGTACTGTGCAACAAAGACACGAGATGTTCCTTCGCTGGCAGGGTTGAGGGCGTTGATGGTGTTAGAAGTGGGCGGCTCTCACGAGCGAGTGACCTGCAGTTATCGCTAGTGCTCATCACGTGTGGCATCAACTGCAAAACCAAACACTGGCACAAGCAGAGCTACGTAGAATAAATGTACAGTGTAGATATGGCAGTGCGCAATTCCAAGCCACATTTACAGGAAGTAGAATAAAGCGCGATATCGAAAGCGCGGTCCAATTCAAGGCCGAGGCGTGCATTCCAGTAATCTCGAGGGCTGCAACCGCAGGCTTGTGCTGGGTCTTCACAGCCGCCTGGGACTTTCGTCACACGCTCCAAACATTGCAAAAGCCTTACCCGCTAAAGCCCGCTTCCGCGTGCTTAGCGTGATGTAACTGCAGGCCCAAGCATCTGCGGCTCTCAATCTGGGCACAAAGTTGCGCAATAAGCATCCCCACCATATTTACGTACTACCCAGTGAGCACTATGGCAGCGGATCCAAGCACTGCGAGCGACGCACCAAATGGCGACTACCAGGCACTATGGGCAAACAAATACCGAGGCGTATGTTGGTGCAATGGCCGTTGCTCCATGCCTGACTGACTGACAGCTGGTAGGCCACAGTAGAAGACCTCGATCCCCCGCCTGCCCTCTCCGTCAAGCCTACCGACCCAATCTCATGGGCGCTCATGTCCGGCCTTGAACGCGACTATACACACCTCACTGTCATTGCCGAGGCGAATCGCGCACTACTTGGATACATTAGCATCCCGCATCTCCAGCAACTTCTCAAAGAAGGCAAAGTCAAGGACAGCGACCCTGTTCAAGAGGCCATGCACAAGTTCCAGCGACGCGGCAGGAGGTACAAGGTCATCACTACAGAGACGCCACTCGAAGAGCTTGAGGAGTTTTTTAATGGCGGAGTAGATGGCAGCGGAAAGCAGGAGTTTGCGGTGGTGACTGATGCAAGCAGGAAGTTCGTGCTCGGGGTGGCTACAAGGGCGGACTTGGAGAACTTTGCGAAGAGGAGGGCATAAAGGACCTCCATGATTTACTGGGGAATGGGAGAACGAGTTCTACGGATAGGTCGTGTTGGGTGATGCATCAGGAGGCGTTTACTTGGGATACCAATGATCATCGTTGTAAAGAGAGGAATAATCCGGCGTGTGCCTCCCAGTAATCCATGGAACTCCCAAAGCCTTCCCGCCTACAGTTGTAAGAATATCAGCCCGCAGATCAAATCGGGACATGTTTAGTTGATCTACATTGCGCTAGCATGCGGTCCTGGTGGGACATGGACATTTGCCGCTCGATGGTTCAGAAAATGACCATCAAGTCTGGCCGAGCTTCAGTTGATAACCATAATTTAATGACGAGCCTGCAAATTGGTAACCACCACCAGATCCAGTCCCCCGAGACGTCATGAAGAGACCAAACGCCTTAAATGTGCTGACTCATGTTCGCACCCTAATCTCAACCCCGATCCACCGCTTGTTATGTGCATACCACACTTTCGGGTTTCCCCGCATACCGTAACCTTGGAGCACAGCGGCTCTTTATGTAGCTTTGGCCCCAGTTGACCACAGGGTTAGAACGAAAGTCCTTGAATCAACCAACTAACTTCGCCTCTCTTCTTGTAGATCGGGCGGCCGCTGGCATGCTCGCACCTGCCTTTCGCGTTCGCAGTAAGCCCCACCTCCAGCATCCACTATCACAAGCCTGGAGAACCACAACACAACAATCTACACCACACCGAACGCGCATCTTGTCCGTGACAATACACCTCAAGAAGCAGTCGAGATGGTATTCGGAAGACGTACCGAAGGCGCAGATAGGCGCTGGGACGACCACGCCCGTTCCCCCCAACGCTGACCCGCCAAAGTCCAAGCCACCCTTTTACTTTGAGGCTGGATATGCGCTGTTTGCAAAGAGACCATCGAGACCATTCCCTCCCCCGTTCCTCTCCATGCCCTCTACGAGCTTCTCGGAACCACTCAGCACGTACAACAAGAGTAGAGACCGGCGGCCGACAGTCAATGGGCAGATGATTAGAGGAGTTACAAATGGCGATGATGCTGTGCTAGTCAGCGAGAGTTTCATTGCCGCAAATGACGGCGTCGGAGCATGGGCTACTAGGGAGAGAGGGCATGCAGCGTTAGTCAACCAAAGCACTCCCAGCCGTCCATGTGGAAAGCGCTAGATCACTGCTAACACAAGACACGCGTAGCCTCTGGTCCCGCCTCATTGCCCATTTCTGGGCTCTCGAAGTAGAAGCTGCAACCTACAACGCCACGACTCCTCCAGAGCCTATCACCTACCTGCAGAATGCCTACAAGCTTACCCAACAAGCAACCTCGAAACCCAACGCGTGGTATGGCACAACCACGACGTGCGGTGCGCTTCTCAGCGCCGACAACGAAGAACCCAATCACCCAGTCCTCTACGTAACCCAGCTCGGCGACTCCCAGATCCTCGTCATACGCCCGAACACTAGAGAAGTTGTATTCAGGACAAAAGAGCAATGGCATTGGTTCGATTGTCCGCGGCAGATAGGGACAAATAGTCCTGATACGCCAAGCGAGAATGCGATGGTGGATTGTGTAGAGATTCAGGAAGACGACGTAGTAATTGCCATGACAGATGGTGTGGTGGATAATCTGTGGGAACATGAGATTGTAGAAAATGTTTGCGACAGTATAGAGAGATGGAGTGGTGACAAAGATAAAGATATAGAAGAGCAGACATACGCGGATGGCATGCAGTTTGTGGCTCAGCAACTCGTTAATGCAGCGAAGGAGATTGCTCTGGATCCTTTTGCTGAGAGTCCATACATGGAGAAGGCGATCGATGAGGGTCTGTCTATCGAAGGAGGTTAGTACCCTGGTAAACTTGACATCGACTGTGGGTTTTCTCTTGCTTAAACTAATACAGGTAAACTCGACGACATCAGCGTTGTAGCGGCTCAGTGCAAACGGCGAAAAGGTTGAGGCCTCGATTGATATGAATGACGAAAGTCTTTCTGCAAAACCGTAAACTCCTATTAGGACCCATCGGAGTCCAACTACATGCATGAGAGAATTCGCACACGATTCGTTCGTAGATGGAAACGACCTGGAAAGACACTACAATGAACCCGGAGTCACATGTCAAACAGAGCATTGTACTGTCACACTAGACCGATCCTTTGGATACTTAGCGTCTAGATTGTGCGCTCGGATATTGTCATTGTAGGCACCATATTCTGCACCAAGAATCGTTATCTGGTCAACAGGATTAGGGGTGTAGGGGTCGCAAAAGAAGCGGTGGTGCTCTATGATAAAGTTGGGATGGCTTACAAGAGAGGTTACGACTCGGTCGTTAACAACCGCGTTGTTAAAAATCACCGTTCATCCTAGATTCTCAGGTCATTTATACTTATACCTGTGGCTATCGTTGGGCTTGATAAGCGCTTGTATGGTATAGACAATCTATGGATAGACCTTGTCCATTGCCGTTGCATTCAAACAAGAAGCTTTTCCAATTCAGACCCCTACACTATAATCCACTACTTTTCAATGACATCATGGAATCCGACCAGGTTGGTAATGATCATAACGCAGCTTGGCAACTGCCAATTACTATGACTCTTCCCGGAGACATGCATTTGAAACCGGTCACGACTTTAATTATATCTTACCGTCATTCTAAGGTTCTCAATGTTGTCAGCGGTCTCTGATACTTGGGCAATGCTTTTCTGAGCTCGCATGATACACAGCATGAACCCTGCTGTACGCTGAGTTTGGACCCACATATGTCCACTGCTCTGGAGAGGGCACAAGGAGAAGAGTTCCGGCATCACATTGTAGGCATCATGAGTGGAGCACAGTGAACAGCACAAGAATCATACAAGTGTATTGGATGGCATCTTGTTTCAATGCCGACGTGAGTTATATGGCTACCCAAGGACAAGCTGTGCAAAACAACTGACGCTACCGATTCTGAGCATTTGAATCATTACTCTATTTACTCGTTTTTGAAAGGAAAATTAAGATCCTCAGTGGTGCGTTGGTGAGGATTAAAGTGAAATCTGCTTGGGATATCGAGGTTGACAGCAATCAGAACTTTGAGGTTCTCCTACTCAATCCACCTTGAGAACTAATTTCAAATCAAGATCTGTGTGCATGTGACATTCACGAAAAGTCCACACGAACTGAACTACTCTTTCGAGCTGCGTTCCCTTCGAACGGGCGATCTTGATGGCGAGCGAGTGACACGACGTCTGCCCTTACCAGCTTTGCTGCGAGATCGGGACCTGCTAGAACCAGGTGAGCGTTTGCGCTTCTTGACATCAGCGCGAGAGTCAACTGAGTCAGCGGCAGAAGAAGTGGAGTATCTACGGCGCCGCTCACGCACAGGGCTTATAGATCGGGAAGACCTCGAAGGAGAGCGACGTCGACGGCGTGGAGGGCTATGTGATGGTGACCTTGTTCGGAGCCTGGGCGCTGGTGAGCTCGATTTATCACGAGGAGAACTAGATCGCGAATTATGCCTAGGTAGCCTTCTCTTGTCTTGGCCAGGAGACCAAGACCTGTCCTTGCGTGCTCCTCGACGTCTCGGAGGCGGAGAGTTGCTTCTTGAAGGAGATCTCCGTCGCGTGCGGCGAGGCGGCGACCTAGAGCGATCAAGCGATGGTGAGCGACGAGTTCGGCGCCTGGGTGGACTTCGCGATGGTCCTGACGATGGTGAGCGACGTGCACGACGAGGTGGTGGGGATGCAGAACGACTGCCTGAAGGGGAACGACGGCGCTCGCGAGACCTATCGTAACGCCCTCCACGACCGCGACCTCGGCCTCCTCCAGGGATATATAAGTCGCGCTCGCGATTTGGTGGGGAGTGTCTTCTTCTTCTATCGCATGTGAGTGAGTCAACTTTATTATCTAGGGATATGGTACATACGGTGGTGATCTCGAGTCACGTCGGGGATGGCCTCTGTCAAAATCTCGGCCTCGGCCTCTACGGTCACTGCCACGGTATCGTCCGCCACCACCGCGTCCGCGTTCGGGGCGATCTGAGCGTTCGCTTTGGCGGAAGGAGTCGATCATGGCGTTCTGTGCTTGGTCCTCTGCGCGCCTTGCATCGGCAGCGGCCTTAGAAAGCTATAGACTGGGTCAGTAATGCTGGTGAGGTGAGCTCGAGATATGACATACCTGTTCCTGCTGCAATTCAGCCTTCTTCGCTTCCAAGAGCTCGCGCGGTACGCCCATGGGACTGTCTTGGGCGCTGAGCATAAGATCCCATAGCTCTTTGCAGAACGGCGCTGTATCTTTCCCCAAAAAGCCAGTAAGTTGGATTTGGATTTCCTTGATCTTTGGCTGGACAAAAGTCAGTACAAGGTTAGCGAAAAGGCGAGACAAGTGTCTACGAACAAATTGGCTTTGCTCAACCAAGTTGTAGCAGGTCTCGACCACAATGTCATCTTCATCGCCCAAGATGGTGGTGATCTTATTGGCAATCCATCTTTTCATTAGGTCGATGTTGACCTTCTCGATATCCACCTTCTTGTCAAACTCTGGCGGGAATTTGGTCGCTTTAAGGCGCTTTTGGTCGATACTGAGCGCCATGATTGCGGTTTGTAGGTGATTGTAGAAGCGACAAGGCCAGTGAGGTGTAGGGCGGACGAGATACGCGACGGTGAAAGCTAGAGCTCACTCGGGTCCATCCGCGTGGGCTTGGCGGCGACTCCAGGATTACGTCAGTCGTTCATGCAGGTACGACACATCACGCTAAGCTCTTGTCAACTAGGGCTTCATCTCTCACTCTTTCTTTCCATTGGCGTTCAAGGATGCGAGGTACAATATATTATCATGTGGAACAACAATTCAGGATGTGAAGGAGCGCAGATGGAGAGCCTGAGTATGCATTGGTTTGAGCAATGACCACATGCAGTGACAGTTTCCAGGACTTGTTCAGCACGCCCAGTTCAGCAGTTGCGAAGACGTCAAACAACAATGCGACTTGCGTGCCTGCTACGCTTATCCAGTACTTCCTGCCATGTTGCAACCCACATGCCTCAGTCATGACTTCTGTTCTGACCCGTCAACTCAATAAAAATCTCATCGCCCGAAATCCTGCTTCATCCATCGTCTTCCTCCTCTTTCATACCAGTTGCCATCACCCATTGATATTCATCTGATTACTTCTTCCAAATCCCATAGCCAATCCCCTAGACACATCTTTCACCCTGTTTTCACTTACCAAGGCAACCGTTTCGGCGGTATCGGACATGTTTGCACCAACCAAGCCGCTCGAAACCGCAACAGCCCCTCTTCCCATTCAGGCGCCTGCCGATACAACAACGCAAGGAGCATCTATTCCTGCTACAACCGAGACTATCTCGCAGCCAGTACCTGAGCTCGCTCCGGAAGTACCTCCAGCCATACCTGAGCCTGTCCCGGAAGTACCTCCAGCACCGATCTCAAATGTGACCCAGCCAGAGTCTCTACCAGTAGCCGAGCCAGCTTTACAAGTGCCTGCCGTAGAACCAGTGGCGACAGAACCTGTAGCGCCTCTTCCTACAGCGTCGATTCCTGAAGCGTCACCCCCCACAACTTCACTTCCCGAGGGTTCGACCGCTACAGCGCCTGTTCCTGTGCCTTCTATCCCCGCAGCACCTCTGCCGGTAGCATCGCTTCTCACGTCATCTCTACCCGTGGCATCTGTGCCAGCAGTGCCTCTTCCTGAGAACCCGCTGCCAATAGCTTCACTTCCCGAGACGACGCTCCCCATAGCACCTCTTCCTGTGGCATCGATTCCTACGGCATCGATTCCTACGGCGTCAATCCCTGAGACGGTTCTAACAGTAACGTCTCTTCCTGTGGCGTCACTTCCCACAGCTTCAATTCCTGAAGGGGCAGTCCCTACAACATCTCTTCCTGTGGCGTCTGTGCCAGTGGTTGCTCTGCCAGTAGCATCTCTTCCTGAGGTATCTCTCCCAGCAGCGGCTCTTCCAAGTGTACCAACGGCCCTTCCTACTGCAGGGACAGGATTGCCTCTGCCGGTTCCTACTACACCATTACCCACCGCTGCACCCGAGACACTAGCAAATGCAGCATCAGGATTAGCTCCGTCGGTTGCAACGACTACTAAGTGAGTGCACTTGATCCATTAGTCGCTATATATACACTAACAATCCCCAGAACTATGCGCAAACGTGACATGATCAAGCTGCTCGGACCGTTGCTTAAAGTCATACCCGGATGCATTCCCCTTCTCGTGCTCCTCGCCCAGAAGAGTGCAGCGGGTGTAGACATCAAGCCGATTATCGAAGCCATGGTATTGGCTGCGGGCCCGTGAATCGAGATTGAAGACTGGTATCTGGATTTGGGTGGCGAACTTCGGGTCCACTCTTCATATTCCCTTGTACCTTAAGTTGCGCACCGAGACTATCATGTAGATTGTTGAATTAACCATCATTCCTGTGACTAACTAACCGTGATTGATATTACTCCGTGGCCTCATCGCTTATCTACTCTTCTTTTCCCTTATACTGACTACTCCGTGTCGTGATAGCGATCCAGAGGTCTTATCATGGACTCTATGCTTCTCAAATGTGTTCTTGACATGTAGGCTCAATCTTGTTTCCTCAGCAGGCAGCGCTGTGAGTACGACCAGTCTGGGAGAAGTAGAATGCCAACCCCTCGACAAGACAGAAGGACTGGGCGGAATGGATGACAGCGCATCTGACTGATCCAGTCTCCCTTGAAACTCCATTCGCATGACCTTCTTTCTCCATACTCATTTCTTGTCCCACATCCATCACTCTGGTGTATCCCTTGTATCTCCATACATCTCATCTTATCAACATCTCCATCACCCCCCAACAGCCCTCTCTACCATAGCCCTCGCTTCCTCCAACCCCCGACTCAACTCCCCTCTCTTCTGCGCTTCCTTGACTTCAAAATGTAACTTGAGTAGGTCCTTTGCGCGCTTCAGATCAGGATCCGATTCATCTTGCTGTGTCGTTGGTGCAGTGTTTGGCTCAGCGGGGGCAGTGGTGTCTTGGGTAGTGGTAGAAGGAGAAGAGTCGGGGCGTGCGGAGACGAGGGCGAGGGCGGCGGCGGGATCCTGGGGTGCTTGGTTAGTTTGCTGGAGAACAGGAAGAGTAATGGAGAAGGTACGTACGCAAACACGTAGAGAGACGAGATCAGAGAGGATCTCTGCTAGTTGCATGGTGTTTTCTTTCAGCGAGGCCTGGTCTTCTGCCATTGTGTCTTTTGTCGCCTGGTATATCCCTCCTGTAATGATTGGTTTCTTTCTTCAAAGCAGGCTGAGATAATTTGGACGGTTTTTTCCTAGTATGAAGCACAGAATGTAGAGTTTTCGTTCAGCCAGAAATATGGTACTCGAAGTTTGGATTTACGGGCAGGCATGTGGGAATGCATGTGCATGTCACAGGGAAGCTCTGACGTTACCAATCGCGCCTGCCCCACGTTCGGTTCGCAGCCCGTAGCGTGGCTTTTTCGTGGAGCACATCCGTCAGTTGCCGGGTAAGTGCTTTACCGAATTCGCGCAACGTCTTTCCTAGCTACTTCGTCACGTCACTTGCTTGAGCTTTGCGGATAACCCTCTAATTTTGACAACATTGTTCTTGAGACGATCATTTTGGATACCAATTGGCTATCATGGCTAGTATACAGGCTATCCGGGCTAATTGCCGCAAGGTATGTACTATTTTCGACGCATAATCAATAAAGGAGTGTAGGAGGAATTGAGAGGAATTTAAAAGTTTCGACATAAGATACTAGAGGAGAAAGAGACATTGAAGGAAAGAGTAGGGCCATTGTCTTTATCGTTATGGGAGAACTCATCCTTATCAACAATCAATCGTTAGAGCTAGGTAGACAGGGAGCAGGTTGCAGGTTGGGAACATGACTAACATTCTCAAAGGTAATGTGTATAGGCAGAAATTATGCCGATCACATCAAAGAGCTCTCGAGTGCAACCCCTAAGCAGCCTTTCTTCTTCCTTAAGCCCCCATCGTCCATACTGCTTCCTGGCGCGGGGCCTGTCCTACGACCCCGGGGTGTGATCATGCACTACGAGGTTGAGCTGGGCCTCGTCATGGGCAAAACAATTCGGGATCTCCATCCAGAGGATACCAAAGGCGCTATGGATGCCATTGAAGGTATGTTCAACGTAACATCTAAACCCTTACTTGAAATATGCAATACATAACGAAAATTTAATACTAACACTTCTCCCGGACAGGCTACATTCTCGCTATTGATATGACGGCGCGCAACGTGCAAGAAGAAGCCAAGAAGAAAGGCCTCCCCTGGTCCATCGCAAAAGGATTTGATACCTTCATGCCTATCAGTAACTTCATCGCCAAGAACCGGATCCCAAACCCACAGAATGCCCATCTTTGGCTTACCGTCAACAACGAGATGAAGCAGTCTGACAACACCGAACTAATGCTCTTCCGAATTCCACGACAACTGAGCGACATTAGCAGAGTAATGACACTGGAAAAGGGTGACATTGTCCTTACAGGTACGCCAAAGGGTGTAGGCCCAGTAAAGACTGGTGATATCATGCGTGCGGGTCTCAAAGTTGATGGAAAGGATATCGAAGAGGCCAACATGGAAGTTCCAGTTGCAGATAGAGAGGGCCTGTATGAGTTCAAGGAGACCTAGAGTAGTATGTAGCTCACTCTGTAGTGTCAAATACACAAATTCTAGACGTCACAAGCACCCTAGAGACCTCTGTAAGTATCAAGGCCTTGCTTCTCTGATCGGCTCGTCGTCAAGATGGAAGTGGCTGATAGGACTACGCTCCCCCAGAAAGTTATGTCTTTCGGGGCTCACTGTTCGAGATGATAGATGCGAGTCGTCGCTGGCGGCGCAGTGCGGTCCTTGTCTCACCGGAGCGATTAATGATTCATCTTGAGGTTGCCCACCCCGAGAATTTGCCACATTCTTAGGTATTTTGAAGGATGATCGCGGTCCAGTTCCTGCTTTTCGCAGTGATCTTCGTACCCCGGCTGCTTCACTTGGTAAATGGTCTATAAGCCCCGTATCGACGCGATGATGTTTTCGTGGAGATGGCAGTTTCACTATTAGACTTTTTTGAACTTCTGGACATGTGACCACCGGAGGTGGAGTGGAATTTTTCTTCTTCTTTGGTGAACCAGTAGCCTTCAATTTCTTCCGTGGTGAGGATATTGGCTCAAATTTAGGTGCTGATTGGACTCCTGGGACAGTGTTCGATCCTATCGATGTCTGCATCTCACCTTCTCTCGCTTCCATTTTCTTAGCCGAAGAACGCGTTAGTCGTTGTGATTGAAGCTCAGGATGGGGTTGCTTCCGCTTTCGGGGTGGTCTCCTGGCTACGAGCTGTGTGGCTGGGGCTACGCTTGCTGGAGCTTTGTCTATAGGAAGTGGTGCAACCTTCTGCTGTGGCTCGGGCGTAGGTATAGGCTTCTTGCGTTGTCGCTCTCTGGAAACAAGCTGTGTAGGTGGTGGAGAGGCATGGTGCATATTGGAACATGGATTCTTAGCAGGTGCTGGCTCAAAATTTTTCTCTCCTATAGGTCGCGATACATTCAAATCATGGATTGAGGGTCTTTGACTTGTATGATCAGGTAGACTGAGGTTATTGCAGTCTTCGGCAGGAGGTGCAATAACGGCCGTACCGTGGCTTCTGTGAGCCGTGGTCAGTGATTTATTTGGCAACCACCATATTCTTGGGCTGATACTCACGTTGTTTGTATTACAGGACTTTGGGGGACTTGTATTTCCTTGCATGGGGTTGTTTGCGAAAGGAGTATTGACTCGCCATTCGGTCCAGTCATTTCGTCCACTAACCCACAATACAGTAGCTGTGACTCTATTAACTCTGCCTCGGTGTATGTTCTTGGCGTTGGTCCCACTATTGCACACAAATTATCAGTAGGTTCGCTTTCCCGTACAGACTTGAGACGGCCGATCTCTCCTTCTAAACTTTGGATCCGATCCGCATCCTCCTTGCGGTTATGCTCAAGAAGTTCAAGGCGTCGGAGGACAGTGTCCAATTCCATGGGCCTACGGGAGAGCTTCTCCAACATTTCTGATAAGCTCGATACCTTGTTGCCAAGCTCAATCTGCTTCTGTTGGATGTTTTTGTTAGTGTCGACGAAAACACTGAGTCGCGTCATTTCGCCCGAGGCCCACTTCTCGAAAGTCTTGTCATTATTTCCCGCCTCAATGGCAGAGAGTTGTTGTTCCAAATGACGAACTTGTACTGCAATGGCTTCTGCCGCTGCCGCAACAGCTTCAGTAGCTCGTATCCGAGCATCGTAGCCTTCATGCTGTTTCTGAAGTGTACGCATCTCTGTGAGCAGGAATGCATGTTGTTTCTTCATTTCCGGCCCCCAGAGCAGTGCCTCTGCTGATGTGAAAGGCATGCGTGACGAGCCTGCATCATTGGCCGTGCTAGGTCGGCGAGACGTCATGATAAAGACGGCGACTGCTGAAGCTTGAAGCTAATAGAAGATCAGTTGAATCGCGGACATGGTGGCAGAGTGAAGACGAACTTGACCAAGCGAGTTCCTTGACAGTAGATATGGGGTAGAACAAAACGACTTCTACTGGCTAAAAAAGCGGCCTGAAGGTAAAGCTATGAGTGTGGTGAAGTGTGAGAGAGTGGACTGAAGCTACAAGGAAGCCGCACCTCGTGCCGTGCCTACCTCTTTCATCCAGACACACCACAAGCTGCTTAGTCCCGGCTCCAAGACATTCATCTGTGAGAGAACGACAGCGCCACAAGTGTAGTAAAGTCTTTCTTATTGCTTGCTACCTATCAAGTACCCTCCCACTTCCAACCCAGTAGGCTTAAGCAGTCCGCTTCGGCCCTTTCGGTACATCCCCCGCATCATCTCTTTTCATGATGCGGATCTTGGTGTCCTTCTTACTGTCTGCATCTGATTCTGACTCCTTTGCCCGCTCCGCAACGGATTTGTCGTAGCTACTCGGGTCGATACCAAGAATGCCGCCGACATTGTTACGGTCACCAGGCACAGAGAACTCACGGAAAGCATATCTCCACTCATTCAAGAAACCTCGGATAGCCTTTCCTACTTTGTCCTTGCCATTCTTGGAATGGTGACCAGTTCCAGTAATGGCATAAACGGGGCGGGAAGATGAGCTATGCTTCAGCAGAATACCCTCAAGATACGATACCGATTCATCTGGATGCAAACCTAAGAGGTATGAGCAATGGTTGCTATCCTTAACTAGTTGGATACGTACCATGGAGATCAACATACAGCTCTCTCGAGCTATCATTATCCTTGTTACGGTCTTCGTATAGAATACGGGCGGCTTCCCGGTGAGCCTCACGCATCAGGTTGTTCTCAGTCTGTCCTCTAAGGCTAAGAGCCTTGGCTGCGCGCGAGTCACTGCGGTTCCAGGCCTGTGCAGCACTAGTAACGTGTCAGTAGGTTCTTACTCGTCGACTCTAACAATAACCTACCTCTGCAAAAACTTATTGCGCAGACTGCCATGTTTGAAAGCCTCGGCGCGAGCATCGAGATATGCCTGATTACCTTTCTCACCCGTGACTAGCCACGGAATGTGCTGGGGAGCGGGAATTGCCTGTGCAGCAGCGCTATTCTCACGAGACCCATTGAAACTCTTGGTTGGTCGTAGACCCTTTCGAACGGGAGTTGCAGGAGCTGGCGAAGGCGACATGCGGACAACATCTGCGAGGTTCGGTCCTGGAGTATCTTTGTTGCCGTGACCACCACGTTTTCCGTGATGTCGCTTTCCAGTCTTTGCAGCTGCTGCAGATCCCAAGGCAGGAAATGCGTCTTTGTCGTCAACTGCAAGCACAGAGGGTGTGGTTGCACGGGAGACTTGACGACTGCCTGTCCTTGACTGCGGCCGACTGCCGGCTCCAGGCGTGAAGTTAGCATACGGGCTAAGACCGGGTGGAGGACGTGTAGGACCACCACTCGTAAAACCATAGAGCTGTTCCAAGGCGGTTGCTTCGGTGGTGGATATAGACGGTGTACCTAGGGGAGAGCCATTGTAGTGAAGAGTGGGGAATTCATAGTCGGACATCTGGAAGTTGGGCAGTGGTGAGGTTGAGGTATCCGAAACCGCCATACGAGCCATGAGAGCAGAAGGGTCATGTGAGAAAAGACAGGTATCTCCAGCCAAACAGTTACCGTTGAGAAAGTATCTGATCACACGTTAGATTTGAGCCGACTTGAAACGGATACTTGATACCTACTTGCACAAAGTCTTGCTAGTGTCATGAGCAAACCGGCAATCCGCCCTAGCACAATGACCGTTGGATAAAAAGTACTTGCACACAATATTGCTCTTCTGTTGCCCAATAGGCGTAGCAGGTCTAAAAGTTGGGGCCATGGACTTTCCGATGAGATATCCAGACTGCTCTGAAGGGGTAGCGGGGAGCTGTGATGCCTCCATCTGCTGACCCATTAACGCAAGCAGAGCAGCACTGAGGTCATAGCCGTTGGCCTCGAGAACCTTTTCTAGCTCCTCGTCCGACCGGTCGTCACGCAGGATTGAGCGTAACATATCATATGGACCCATATCCATGGTTTGCGGCTGAACCCATTCGGCGGCGGCACCATTGAGCGTACCATCGCCTACGTACGATGACTCGGTGCTTGCAATGTCCTCGTTGACTAGCCAATCCACCGAGTGTGTATCAAGATCACCATATGTTTCTGTGTTCGGGCTGGCGCATTCGCTGAATTGGTATGCGCTCAGACTGGGGCTGTGGGGAATATGGGGTGTTGAAAAAGCAAGCCGTGGCGAGGGTCGTGGGGAAGTAAAAGGTGAAGCGGTTGAAGACTTTGTGCGCGCAAAGCCAGGGGGTCCTATTCCAAAGCCTGGAGGGGGGTGTATCATGCGTGGAGAGTTGTTGACTGGAGTCGGGGCGCGGTTGGCCTGCCATGGGGCTGGAGATGGCCGGCGGATGACGGTATGACGGCTGGGTGGAGAGCTGGATGAGCTGCCGGCATCGCGGTAACGCCACAGGCAGTCGAGGACAATGTTCTCGAGAGACTTGCCTGTGAGATTGGTCTCCTTGCGCATGAGCTCCTCGAGCTTGTCCGTCTTGTCCTCCTCGTCCAAGGCATCATCCTGCAGTACAGGCAGAGCCTTTTCATACAAATCGTCTGCGACCATGTTGATTAGTTGCAGACGCAGAAAAAAAGGGAATGGTAGATATGGCGGTGAGGGGGGCGCGTGGGATGGACGAGGGTAGAGAGCGAGGTCGAGACAGGAGGCCGTCGGGCTGATTAAGTACTGCGGTTATTGGCAGAGCGACCGGCGCGTTCAGAAGAGTGAAGCAGCAACGGGAAGGGCAAACAGTTTGTCCTACAGCTTTCTGTCTGCAGGACACACAGCGAGTGCGCCGAAGAGGACAGAGCCAATGTATGCCTTGGGGGGCGGGCGATCGCGAGCGCGAATGAAGCTCAAGGGACTAGGCTCAGGCCGCTCAACTACGTAGGTAGGGGTGGGGGGAGCCTGCACCGTGCAGCAGGTCAACCATACAGCGGGAACAGGCAATCTGCACACTGGAATCCCAGCAGTCCCTACATGGCCCTCAGAGCCTCGAGATGCATTCGGATGGGAACGGTATGGGATGGAGAGTCTTGGCCAGATGCGGGATGGGATGGACAAGGCTGGCGACGGGTCGATGGACAATTGGAGCCTGGACACCACGAAACGAAGCTGCTACATATGCCTCAACCCTCTTTTGCTGATGGGCCAAATTGAGGGGGGCGCCACACTTCTGAGGCTGAGGCTGGCCAAAGTCACGTGCAGAGCCTACATACGGTATCCGCACCATGACTGGCATGCGGTACATCACCTGCAGCAAGCCCTGCGTGTCTGCGCAAAACAAACTACGTGTGCTCTTCGAATCACGCCATCTTCGAGTCCTTGGATAAAAGGACTCAGCCACGCTGCGACTCCGTGGCTGTCCCGGCACATCTAATATACGCGCCTAATGCAGAGCGGGTGCGGCGGTGCATCATTGTTCGTCCGCCCGGGATGACGATGAAACCAAAAGCTGTCCAGCACCAGCACTAGCTTTAGCATCTTACACCAACACCCTCTATTGTTTCTGACACCCGATTACCAATCCACGGAATGTCCCCTTTCAGCCATCCCAACTGACAATCCCTTCCCCCATCACCTGCCATTACATCTCTTACCTCCGCGTACGTCCGGGTCGCTCCATCCAGGCCACCACAGCACATAAACAACGAGGCAGCTATGCCGGCGACCGACTATGATGTGCGCGCCCTTGCGCTTCCGCTTGAAAACGAGGAAACGGGTGAGACGCCAATATGGAGTCAGCGACAATCGTCCACCTTCCGGCGCAGCGCTTCGCATAACAGCCAACAAACCACATGGCGGCAACGCGCAATGGGCAACTGGGACAAATACTCGCGGCGAGCCCTGGACCAGTACAACAAACTATCGCCTGTCAAGAAAGTATTGTTCATTATAGGGAATATACTCTTGCTTGTAGGCGGCATACTGTTCTTGGTGTTCGGTGAACGGATATTCGGCGCCCTGCTGCCTATGGCGAAGAAGTGGAGGGATGTCACAGCGGGCTGGCTGATACTCTGGGCTCTGATATTCATCGTCTCCTTTCCACCTTTGATTGGATATTCCAGTCTCCTTACCATTGCCGGTTTCGTTTATGGCTTTCCAAATGGGTAGGTTTAAACCACCAATTCACCAGGCGACTCTTGACAGTAGGCTGACTCGACACAGATGGTTCATAGCAGCAACAGCGTCAGTCGCTGGCAGCACTGCATCGTTTCTCCTTTCGCGCACGTTTCTCAAATCCATGGTCCACCGCCTCGTAGCGAACGACACCCGCTTCGCTGCCCTCTCCCTTACCCTCAAGCATGATGGCATCAAACTCCTCGTCATGTACCGCCTGTGTCCACTACCATACTCCATATCCAATGGTGCTGTAGCCACCTTCCCAACCGTACACTGGGCTTCTTATGCCCTGGCTACTGCCATTGTATCACCCAAGTTGATGCTCCACATCTTCATCGGTGCACAATTGGAAAAGATTGCCGAGAGCGGAGGCAAGATGGACCCGCGCACAAAGGCACTGTCCTACATCTCCATCATTATCGGACTAATTGCAGGCGTAACCACTGGCTGGCTAGTCTATCGCAAGACAAAGGCCCGGGCTGCCCAGCTCGAAGCTGAAGAGCGCGCTGGTGTCCGACGTGTAAGCATCGAGGACTTGGAGAATGAATATCACGATGATCCAGGCGCGCTGGAAGCTGCCGAGCGGTTACGAGAAGATGATGATGACATTAGTCTGAGGACAGCATGGGATGATGAGTATCATGATGAGCCCCCTGAGACGGGTGATGCAGTGGAAATTGGTGATGACCCCTTTAAAAACGGGGATGCGAGCGAAGGAGAGGAGCAACACCAAGGGACGAAGAAGTAGACAGGCATCTATTGGATAGATTGATGGTTTTTGGATAATGCGATTAGATGGCTAGACTGGATAATGGCATCGAACAAGTTGAACAATCAGTTCCGTATTCTAACATCGCCTGAGATGAATAGCCAACAAGGACATGAGTAGTGTCCGGTACAACCGACAATGGCGATTCCAAAACCCCTGTAGCTGTCCTGTTACCAATCCCTTTTTGGGATGCAGTCAACACTACCTGTCCAAGAAGAAAAACTAAGACAGCTAGTAGTACTGGGACGAAGAAACGGTAGTATCGAATCCCCTCTAAGTGACCCGCTATCACACCTCATGTTGGACATTGTCAGTATCGTATCAACTTTCGATGGGAGATTCCGGCACAATGACACAGTGAACAACCAAGCATTCATAATATAAGAAAACATTCATTTGTCGTATGTAACCTATTCCATAACACCATCTCTATAGGCAGGAATAGACTCGCACATGGGCGCTAAAATGGGCATATAGAATCACAAGGAGTAGTCGTCGTTGATGATATAGACAGGCGTGCGATACCTAGCCATCTGTGAAGTGAACAAGCAAATCTTCCATTGACAGCTGATGGTGAAGACGCATCTTCTATTATACATCTATTCTCAAAGACCAATCAGCGCTTTTTGGCCCCTCAGAACATTGGAATAGACCGTACACACTCTTCCATCCTTCAACCCATCTATGCAACGAAGCTCTTGGTGAAGCTCTGGGCAACCTCCTTCAGCTTGGCCTCAAGCTCCTTGCTGAGAGCACCTTCCCGGTCGATCTGGGCGAGCATGTCGGACTCGTTTGATCGGAGGTGGGCAAGGAAGTCAGCCTCCCACTGGAGAATCTTGTTGGTTGGTACGTTGTCAAGGAGACCGTTGATACCAGCGTAGATCAGGGGAACCATCTCGTTGACGGCCATAGGAGAGTACTGCTTCTGCTTGAGGAGCTCGGTAAGACGCTCACCACGGGCCAAGGTCTGCTTGGTAGCGGCATCGAGATCGGAACCGAACTGGGCAAAGGCAGCGACTTCACGGTATTGGGCCAAGAAGAGCTTGAGGGAACCAGCGACCTGCTTCATGGCCTTGACCTGGGCAGCGGAACCGACACGAGAGACAGAGAGACCGACGTTAATGGCGGGGCGGATACCCTTGTAGAAGAGCTCAGCCTCCAAGAAGATCTGACCATCGGTAATGGAAATGACGTTGGTGGGAATGTACTATGTCAAAAGTTAGCATTTTGGAACGGCCACAGCAAGGCGAAAAGGAAAAGGGAGACAAACCGCAGAAACGTCACCACCTTGAGTTTCAATCACAGGAAGGGCAGTGAGCGAGCCACCACCGAGCTTGTCGTTCATCTTGGCAGCACGCTCGAGGAGACGGGAGTGGAGGCTGTCACATGTTAGCACAAGTCAGGTCCATCGCATTTGAACAAAAAGAGTGACTGACTAGAACACATCTCCGGGATAAGCTTCACGGCCCTATTAAATAGTTAGCAATAGTTAATAGAGGCGTTGGGGATGTGTTGGTGTGGGTTGGTGTTGAGTTTAGTGAAGAATGATCAGGTGGTCTGTGCATGTGTTGGTTATGGTCCGTGCGCGAACTTACAGGAGGACGACGGAGAAGTAGCGACATCTGACGGTAAGCGACGGCCTGCTTGGTCAAATCATCGTAGATGATGAGAGCGTGCTTGCCGTTGTCACGGAACCTAAAAAACAATGTTAGCTAGTGGATCTTAGGGAAAACAGCAAAGCAAAACGAAAGTCAGTAACATGGTGGCCAGTCCGATGCTGTCGTAAGGTTGAATCGAGATTGCCGAAGTGGGACAATGTCCGCGTCAATTGACTTTCGTAGGGGTTGTTGTCGGGTGTCCAAGATAGCGCGATATCCATCTTAGCCAATTGTCGTGGGAAAAGTCTTAAGGCTTCCAAAATACAATGGTGACAGCAATAAGGACTTTTCGTCGCAGAAGTCCCTAGTCTTCTGAAATGCTTCGTAACAGCCACGACAATTTCTGTAAGGAAAATTTTCCAGTTTTCGACAAGGCATGATAGCCGCCGTGACAAATTTTCGTGAGGAATTGTCCTAGGTTTCCAAAGTGCCATGGTAACCATCTCGAAAGAATGTCTTTGGGCTTTGGAGAAGCTTCGAGTGTCCAAGGTAAACGGTAGCCATTTCCATGGAGGATTCCAGATTTTCACACAATGAAAGTAGAAAAACATAAAATTGAAGAGCAAACAAGCGGATACATACCATTCTCCCTGTGAAAAAGTTAGTCATCAGCTAAGCCTCAAAATTTACTTGTGCGGCTTACCATTGAGCAACCGGTGAAAGGCGCGATGTATTGAAGAGGAGCAGCTTCAGAAGCAGTAGCAGCGACAACGATGGTGTACTTCATGGCATCGTTCTCCTCAAGGGTCTTGACGAGCTGAGCGACGGTGGATCGCTTCTGACCAACGGCGACGTAGATGCAGTACAGCTTCTTGGTCTCGTCGGTACCTGGCAGCTAATGTCAGTCATCGACGTACTCATAAATTCGACAGAGTTCCCTACCCTTGTTCCACCTGTTCTGGTTGAGCATGGCATCGAGAGCGACGGCAGTCTTTCCAGTCTGACGGTCACCAATGATCAACTCACGCTGACCACGTCCAATGGGAACCATGGCGTCGACGGACTTGAGACCAGTCTGTACGGGCTGGTTGACGGAACGGCGGGGCAGGATACCGGGGGCCTTGAGCTGAGCACGACGGCGCTCAGTGGTCTTGAGGGGACCCTTTCCATCGATGGGGTTACCGAGAGCGTCAACGACACGTCCGAGGAGAGCCTCGCCAACGGGAACGTCGACAATCTGTCCGGTACGCTTGACGGTCTCGCCCTCCTTGACCAAACGATCGGAACCGAAAAGCACAACACCGACCTGGCCGGCTTCCAAGTTCATGCACATGCCCTTGACACCGGAGGCGAACCTGGGCGAGTGTTAGCAGGCCCCGTGGGGAAATAGTGGTGTTGTGGACTTGGCGTACTCGACAAGCTCTTCGGCCTGGACATTGTTCATGCCATGGACACGAGCAATACCGTCACTATTCTGCAGTCAGCTTCCCTGCCTATTTATTTGCATTGGCAAAAATGGCTTACCCGACGGAGAGAACACGACCAGTCTCGGAGAGGCTGGTCTCCTCCTGGACACCGCGGATCCTCTGCTCAAGGATGGAGGAAACTTCGGTTGGGGTCGCCTTTGCGTCGGAAGCGTAGAAGCGCGTAGCGTTGGTGAATGCGGGAGCGCGAGTCTGTTGGTAGAAAAAAGCCGTCAGCGCTGCATCTTCGGAAGAGGGGAGCTTCCTTGGTCCCGCCGCAGTGCTGCGCAGGCCGCCCATTTCCATCAACGAAGCGCCATTGTGGAGCCAATGGCATCGGAAATCGGTTCTATGAATGGCGGGCGATGGCTGGACCGAGAGAAGGCGCAATTGCAGGCAGTTGCGATGGACTTACCGAAGCAATCCTGCTGGTAGCAGAGATTGCAGCGACCCGGCGGCTCGACTGGCGGATGGCCCTTGAGAACATGGCTGCAGCTGCTCAAGAGACTATTTTGGTAGCTCTGCAACCAATTGAGATTGATGCAGGTATGGAAGAGGGGAGATGGTGATGGAGTTGAGGATGGGAGCTCTGCTGTGAGGGAGAAAGTCCTGCGGTTCGGAAGGAAAGCGCGGACCTTGGCGTCAACCACTAATCCTAAAAAAGCCGTTTCTCAACCGAGCTCCAACTTTACCACGACATCCACGCTCAAATTCGAGGAGAGTTGGCAAGGTCAAAAGCTGGAAAATGAAAGTCTAGAGACTTCAATTGGTAATAAGAAAGCGGCTGGGCCCCTCGCATTCCTACGTGAGAGTGGCTACTGCGTGGAATACGAGCTCACATCCCACAAGCTGCCTTATCGATTGGCTGTCACAATGTCGACATACAATTCAAGGGTCGAATCCTCCGCCATGTGGACATTACTTGGAAGACTCACGGCGTACTTCCAAAGGAAAGACATTTTACGATGGATTGTCACATGCTAACACAATAGTCTGAGCGAACAATGTTATAGATTGGTATCCTACTATGTTGCAACCCCTTCAGCAGAAATATACGGACAAAATGTGCAAAACTAACAACCATAGGCGACACAACTCCGTATACGCCTTGCACCATGCAATGCTCACTCTGCTGTAGTATCCGTACATTACATGCGCATCCCAGGGCAGTGCCGCCTGAACGCATCCTTCTATTACCTCTGATAGAGACATCACCATGCCTCACTTGTGCTCTGGCCATCAAATCCATATTTCAAGTATCGAATTATTTTGCCGAGCCATTCTGACCCTTTTCCTTGCTCTTCTGAAACTTCTGGATCTCCTGCTCAACAGCCTGATCTATACGACGTTTGAGCTCTGGACGGTAGCCGAGCATGAAGAGAACCTCGAACCAGACAAAGAACGGAGCCAGGAAGATGGCTTGAATGAGGTTGTCTAGCAATGCTGGCGCCCTTCCCTCAAACTTTCCATGTCCGACAAACTGCGCAATCCAGCATGCAATGTTGATTGCGCCAGCCCAAGAGTTGACTGACGCGCCGTACGTGGACGTGAGGTGATTCGCATACGCGGTGCTACCGATAAGGATCGGGGCAATCATGGCTCCTGCGACAGGCTCCATGAGGACATATAGGGTCGAGTAGAGTACAGCTCCGGCTGTGCCGATGTTGAGCGGGAGATTGGGAATGGAAAGCCATGATGGCAGCGGCACGGCCGGTGTGTTGGTGAGCTATGATTCGGATTAGTGGGGCCTGGGCGGTGACAATTCAGGGGCCATACAAGGAGAAAAGATGTCAAGAGGATGGGAGGCACGCAAAGCATATGTATCCCCACGTTAACCTGATGAGCAGCGCGTTAGCTGACATGTGAAAACGGCCGGGCGGAAGAGGCCTACTTTGTTATGGTGGTATGCTCCATACTA